ATAAAAACTGCGCCGTGCAAAAAAAATTTTTTTTTAATTTACCCTGCAAATTTTGCAAGTCTTTTTTTCCAATTTTCGATACTTTCTAGACGTTTTTTGCAGCCGAAACCCTTCCATTTTACAGTGTAAACCCTTGAAAACGCGTCCAAACGCCGCAGAAAAAAGCCTCTTACATATGTAAAAGCGCTTACCGACTGGCGCGCTCGCCCGCCTAAAGGCATTCAAGCCGCACGTACATGTTATTGTTTTCCCCCTCAGGGCAAATATAAAACTCTCGTCGGCGCTCTTTGGCCACTTTTTTGGCCCGCTTTTCTCAAAAATTTATTAATTTTTCGAAGATTGGCCGAAAGTTTTTGGTTCGGTTTTTTTCCGATTCCACGCAACAATGGGGACTGTTGGCCGGAGGGGAAGTATGTAATTTGGTTGAAAGCCGGCGGGTTCGCCGAGAAATTGGGTATTTGGGCGAGTTTTTGGTGTTATCCATGACCAAAAAAAAGATGTTTTTTGGCTGGAAACGAGAGAATCTTGGGATTAACTTCCTCTTTACTCCTTTTTAGGGAGTTCCACAGCTTTTGGAAGAGTTTTTCGCCGACTGGTTTGAAATTTTTATATTATCCATTACAAAAATTGGCAAAAATTTTATCGATATCGACCTTTTTTTGATGTTTCAAGTAATTTGAAGCAATAAAATAAAGTTTCAAATATATGTACAGTCCTTTTTTAGCAAAAAATTTGAACTTTTTTATATATTTCATTATTTTTTTGCCAAAAAAATGCCTTGCGAGCCATATTTAATATGGAAAAAATAAAAAATTCGGTCCGAGTCGAATTTCGGAAGCATGAGGAGCCAATCTTTTATTTATAAAGACCTTTTCCAATCCTAAAAAACTTGTAAATTTTATATTTTCAAAAAAATTTTTTTATCTGCACAGTGCAATCAAATTTTTTATGACGAAAGTCTGCACTGTGCACTCGATAAAGGTTTATTTTTCACTGCACAGTGCAAAAAAAGAGTGTTTTTGAATTTGTCGCCTGACGAAAAAAAGTTTATGCACTGTGCGGAAGCCACTGAAATATTTTTTTGCACTGTGCGGTGGTTTTCAAAATTGCACAGTGCAATAAAAAATGAATTTATCGCACTGTGCAAAAAATTTTTTTTGATTGCACAGTGCAAAATTTGAGAATTTGTCGATTGCACTGTGCATTCTTTGCACCGTGCGGAAATTTTTTTTGTCGCGCGATGCAAGTTTTAGCGACATCGAAAAATGCACCGTGCAGTCAAACAAATACGTTCGCACTGTGCAAAACTAATTTTCTTTAGTTTGCACAGTGCAATTTTTCGAAAATTAAAATTGCACTGTGCACGAGCCAAAACTTGGCGAATCTTTTTTTGCACCGTGCAAAATTGAAATTTCGAGGTTCCAATCTGCATTTGGCCTCTGAAAATCCAATAGTTCAGCCAACTAAACCCTTGTCATCGTTTCTTGGCCATTCCTTGGCCATTCCTTGACGTCGCACTTTCCGATATCATCTTACGGCTTGCAAGACGTCCAAGTTTCCGTTCCCTCTCCGTGAACCCATCTGGATGCCCTTAGGGGGAACTTTTTTCTCCCCGGCTTCCTGAATTTACATAACGCCGGCGGGGGTTTTTTGATGTCCGTGTGTATGCGGAAGGGCCTGGAAATTGGGACCGAGACGTCAGATGTGCCCGCGGGCGATGCGTTTGAGGGCCATTCAGGATGTTGACAACAGTTTTCATGAAAGAAATTGTAGCCTGGTTGAGAATCGAGCAAAATTGGACTTTTGCTTTTGTTTGAGTTTTACATTTTTACATATAAAAATAGTATTGTAAATTGCTACTTTACACTGTAAAAAGTTGTAAAAATGTTCGAAATTTTCAATTCTCACATTATCAGAGGGCTAAGTCAGCTCTAAAACTCTATTATTTTCAAGTACTTTGAGTAAAAATTTCAAAAATTCAAATTTCCCGCCAGTTTTGGCATTCTGTTTCACCTTCTTAAAATGTTGTAAGAGCATCAAAAATTACGAAAATAACCTTTATATATCCTTTAACAAAAAAAATTTCTAGTTTTGCCCCATTTTTTAGTTATTTTTTATATTATTCATGATAAAATTTCCCAATTTTTGAGTTTTTCTGTCCTGTCTTGTCACAATTGCTCTTCAGAGATCACAAAAATGAAAGCAGCGTCCCGGAAAACATTGCCTAAAAAGGAAATCTTTCAAATTCTGTAGGTGGAACTCTGAATTCAGCGTTTTTGAGCCGGAAAATGTCTGATGTCGTCTGAAAAATGGGCAATTGTGTTATAAAAGTGGTTGAGAATTTCTTTTTTAGATGGTGGTTCATGAAGAGAACTTCAAGAGGGAGTCCAAACGAACGTATTTTACAAAAAAACAATTTCTGCACAGTGCAGACCAATTTGTTGCCATTGCACTGTGCGGCTTCCAAAAAAAGTGTATTTTACCCAAAAAAAAGTGAATTTTGTTAACGTAAACTGACATTCTAATGTAGACTAAAGTACGGCGCGTATTTTAAAATGTTTTTAAAATTTTTTATTTATATCCTAAGGGCATTTTTGACGATTTTTTACCAAAAATTTTGGTTTTTTCCTATTTTTTGTTTTTTTTAGCTTTTAAAAACTAAAAAATAATAAATTTCAGACCTCTATAGGCAATTTGTTTTCCTTTACCGACCTTCCAACATTAATTTACCACCATTTTTTTCAATTTCTCCCTTTTTTCACTTGACCAATTTTTTCATCGTATAACATGTCCATCACCCTCAAACGCCCTCTCAACTTAATTCTGACGTTTGTTTTGTCATCCGTATATCGGAATCTGAATCCTATATGCCGACAACAAAGGAGAACGTAAACAAAAATAGAGGAATGGGAGGGGTAAAAGTTGGCCCAATTTGCCCGCTTTTCTCGCGCCATTAAAAATCTTTGAGGCCGCGGAAATTCGCCTTGAAACCCCGACATTCTTCCGCCTTATGCTTTGGGGTGCGTGGAAGTGCGGCCACGTGCATTTGGCCCACTCAAAAACACCTCTGCTTGGGTGAACTTGAGAATGTTTAAGTGGAATTTTATTGTGTTGAGAGTGAGTTTATAGGGTGTATAGTTTGCAAATATTTTTTTTTATGTTCGATGAATTGTCGTGGACAATTTTTTCGACCATTTTTTCGTGCAATTTTTGAATTTTTTGAACTTTTATAGGCAAAAGTATTAAAAAATCTCAAAATTTTTGATAAATAACATAATATAAGCCCCAGAAAGAGAGTTTAATTTCAAACCATTGACATGGGATCGTATTTTACAACTGATTTTTGCATTTGCCACATTAGTTTTCCGCTTTTCGACACTTGAAACAGAATGCCAAAAATGGCGGGAAATTCGAATTTTTGAAGGTAAAATCGATATATTTATAAAATTTATTGGATTATTATTGATTTCGAAGCACCTTCGTATTTTAAAAATCTTAGATTTCACTTTTTCGACCAATCTTTTCGACCAAGTTTCCGATTTTTCAAACTTGAAAAATTTTGGTTATTTCTGCATAACGCGGTCTGAAATTTTTTTTAGATGCTTGTTTTGACATGTAGGTTTTTATTCTCACACGGGGTTTTGGAAAAAATGATGTCAATTTTTATGTCATGATGACATATTTTTTGGAAAAAGGATTTCTGAACTCGTATTTTACAAACATTGCAGCAAATTTCCACTCAAAACAATCTCCTTTGTCGTTATATTTATCCCAATTTCCATTTGTTTACCGCTTTTATCCCCCTCATTACCACCAAATTTGATGACATTTTATTAAAATCCAATTACCCCCGGCCCAAAAATAATGAATGTTATCTCCTCTTTCGTGGGCCCTCCAAAATGATATTGGAGACTGGTGAATAATTAAAATCTCTTCATCCCCCTGCGCTAAGGCAATATTCTGGCAATATATGAACAGACGAGGTCGGTTCGACCAAAATTCATGTTTTTATAGGACAAAAGGATGTAATTTCATTGTCGGCGTCTGGAATTTCTCGAATATTTTTTGAGGTTTTTCTAGGTGTTTTTACTCAATTTTATTACGTTTAGCTACTTGTTTTTTGATTCTTGAATCTACGATTTTTTGAGTGCACGGTGCGAAAAATTTTGGTTGCACAGTGCAAAAAATTTCGACTGCACAGTGCAAAAAAATGTGGCCGCACGGTGCAAAAATCATCGACTGCACGGTGCGGAAAACTTTGACTGCACGGTGCGAAAAATTTCACCTGCACAGTGCGAAAAATTTTCATTGCACAGTGCGAAAAACGTCGACTGCACAGTGCGAAAAAATTCGATTGCACGGTGCAAAAAAAATTTTATTGTACGGTGCAAAAAATTTTGATCGCACAGTGCGAAAATCTTTGACTGCACAGTGCGAAAAAATTGTACTGCACGGTGCGGAAATTTTTGAATGCACAGTGCAAAAAATTTTGTACTGCACGGTGCGAAAAAAATCGATTGCACGGTGCGGAAATTTTTGAATGCACAGTGCAAAAAAATTTCGACTGCACAGTGCGAAAATTTTTAATTACACGGTGCAAGAGGGTGGATGATTGCACTGTGCAAAGCAAAAATCATTTTGCACTGTAGGAGTTTTGAAGTTTTAAAAATGCACAGTGCGATTGCAAGATTTTGACCACGCACCGTGCAAACGCGATCTTTGTTTTGGTTGCACGGTGCAATGCAATATAAAAGTCATTTTTTTCCGTTGCACTGTGCAGTCCTTCGGAAATTTTTGTTTGCGCACTGCAGATTGCAGAATTATGAAAAGATTAGGTTGTAAATGGGATTTTTAGACTATTTCGGGCTTCAGATCTTTTGATCAGGCCTTTTTTTATGTTGTACTTGACATTTACTACATTTTTTTTAATTTTGTCGAAATTTCAATTCCAATTTTTTCGCTACTCCCTACGATTCTCAAAAATCAAATTTCCAGGTCCAATGGCGTTCCTGGGCCAACTTTCCGCCAAATTCAACGAAGTGAAAACTCAGCTGCCACTGAACTCGGTGTTGGACAATGTGAACAAAGTGCGTCAGAATGTGGTCAACAATCCCGTCTTCAACAAGTGCACACAGCAATTGGACAGTCTGGGGAAGATCCTGCAAGTGAGTAATTTTAAATTTTTTGTTGCTTTTGCCGTAGGCAATGTTTTTTGATGACAACAAAACATATATGTAATTTGCTCTGTGAACCTTGAAGCGAAAACAAGATAGAATGTCAGAATGGGGGGTCGTATTTCGTTTTGGAGCCACTCATCCATATAAAATTGAATTTTTGAGGTGATGAGAGAATTTTAAATTTGAATTCCCGCCAAATTTTCAAATTCTTGGCATTGTGTTTCAAGGCTGAAAATTGCAAAAACACCATTTCTGTGGCATGGCAATGCAGAATACAGCCATATTTTGCATATTTTACATTTTCAGCCAGTTGCAACATAATGCCAAGAATTTGAAAATTTGGCGGGAAATTCGAATTTTCAAAAAAATAATATTCAAATGAAGTGGAAATAGTAATTTGATCAAAATTCGATATTTAGAATACGTATTAGGGAACTCTGTGTTGTCTATGACTGAGATTTTGGACTGACTTTTACATTACTTTAGGTTAATGTGAACCTCAAGCAGTCTCCGATTGACCTGCTTCCGCTGTACACTGCGTTTGATCCAGCCTTGGAGAATGCGACTTTCCGGTGAGTTTGGAGCCTTTTTTCAATGTTTTCTGATACTTATCGACCTAAAATTTTTCTTATTTTATATTATACTAGGCAAGTTTAATGAAAAATTTTTAGTTTTTCTGCATCATTTTTGATTTTATTAGATTAATAATTGTCGTAAAATACGCCGTTTTCGTTTGGAATAGAATTTCTTTGTTTTCCCAAAACTTTATTATATTACTTTACACATATCCTCATCCTGCACTATAACTCAAATATCTCCCAATTTCACATCCAAATCCCCGAGGTTTGGATGAGATTCGCCTCAATTTGACGTGAGAGCATAAATAAAAGTTCGGCGTAATAAATAAACAAAAAACATTCCATAACATTACGTCACAAGGCTTTTGGGATTTACATTGTCAAAAAAGATGATAAATCGGACGTAAAACTGTTCTTACCTCGTGTATTTGCACCCAAATAGAGGAGACTAATGAAAATATGGATGTTTACGGGTAAAAGGATGACTTCTGGGGTTTGGAAATCAAAAATTAGATGGAAAAGAGGTAAAAAATAAAAATAAAGTTTTGAAATTTTGATTTCTGCAAGTTTCCAAAAAATATGTCATCATGACATAGATGATGACATATCTTTTGGAAATATGAAAATTCTCTGTTTGATGGTAGACCACAAAAATTTAATGCAAAAATAAATTTACTGGTTTGAAGAATCGGCGACATTTTATACGAAAAAAAATTTTTTTGAATTTTTGAAAATTTATAAAATACGATCTTCTAACGGGTCAAAATTTTATGTTTGCGTGTAAAAAACCTAAAATTTTGACTGAATTTTCAAAATACCAATTTTTGGAAATTTCCAAAAAATATGTCATCATGACACATTCATGGCGGATTTTTGGAAATGCCAAATTCTGTAGATGCGACGTTTATATTGAGGCGATATGGATGGCACTGCGTATTTTACATGTTTAAAAAATCGAAAAAACTGTTTTGGCGACATTTTATACGAAAAATTTTATTTACATATTTTCTGAATTTCTGCATCTAAAAATACTGTAGCTAGACTATTTCGGTCAAAAAATTGCTCCCAACAATCTCTTTGCTCTTTATTATCCACATGCGTCAAGAAATCACTGACATTCACCGGATATTTACCCAAAATTTCAAAACAATTGTTATTAGAGAAAGGTTATCCCCTTCATCCGCTATTCTGGTCATTTCTATCCATTACAAGTCCCGCAAATTGCGTAGATAGCGGATTATTTTCGAATATTTCTGTATTTTCTTCCAGAAAACCCTGGAAAGAAGGGAAAAATAGGAAATTGGGCTAATCTAGGGGGATTTCACGGAGCCTAGGACTTGTAAATCGCCGCAGACAAAGTTTGTTATTTGTGGAAACAAGATTAATTATTGAAATGGCCATGAGGGGTCGAAAAATGGAGAAAACATTGATTTACGTCATCAAAACGTGAAAAAATGGGTACAAAAGTCGAAAAAAGGTCAGAAATCGTATTTTAGGAGGGCTAAAAATAGAAATTTTGATAGGATAAGAATCAGAAAATCTTTAGAAAATCATGATAACTATGTTTTGGCCATCAAATAAAAAAAAATAAAAAAAACAAATAATTTTTATTCGATTTTTTACAATTTTTTTTGACTTGAAAATGTCTCGAGGAAGTTTTTATGGCATTTTTTTTAATCATAGACACATCAATTTTATCTTGAAAATCCAAAAAATCTCAAAAAAATATTTTTCGAAAAATTAATTTTTTATCGTATAAAATGTCTCCCAAAAAAATTTCAAGCTCCAAGACTGAATTGTGGTAGGATAAGAATCGGAAAATCTTTAAAAAATCATGATGACTATGTTTTGGCCATAAAATAAAAAAAAATTTTAATTTTAAAATTTTTTCCAAAAATGGGTAAAAATGTCGAAAAATAGTTCACTACATCCCGCAAATCTCCAAAAAAAATTATAAAATTTTAAAAAATTTTTTGAATCCCCGAAAATTCCAGTTTGGACTACGACGAGACCGCACAGTGCATCCTGCGGAACATTGGCCAATGCCTCTCCATAAAGTATCCGGACGGGGCCAGTGATGACATGGGACTCTCCTTCCTGCCCGAAGAACAGTTCCATTTGGATACGGTGAATCTGCATTGGGGAACGGAGCCGATGAACGGCTCCGAACACACGGTCGGCGGCGTCGGATATGCGGGCGAATTGCATTTCATTCATCGCAATTTGAAGTACACTAGTCTGGAGGCGGCCAGCAAGCAACCTGACGGAATTGTGGCGTTCGCGGTGTTCTTGAATGTGAGTTTTGGGATTTTAGAGGATAAAAAATCAAAATCCCCTGATTTTTGGGGGATTTTAGGGATTTTTTCGATTTTTTTGCAACTTTTTGAGTATTTTTTGGAAGTTTTTGGACACTAGAGTTAATTCTAGAGACATTAGACAGTGTCTCACTTTTCAAACTTTCAAAAAAAAAAAAAAAAAAGAAAAAAATTTTTTTGGAATTTTCGATTTTTTTTATTTTTATGAATTTTTTGAGGTTTTTTGGAACTTTTTGGACGTTAAAGGTAATTCTAGGTACAATAGAAAGCGTGGCGATATTTTTTAAGGTTTAAAAAAAATTAAAAAAAAATTTAAAAAAAATCGCTTTTTTTTTTGATTTTTTAGTTTTTTTGCAAGTTTTTGGACGTTATAGTTAATTCTAGAGACATTAGACAGTGTCTTAGTACTTTTTAAACTTTCAAAAATCTCCTGAAAAATTAAAAAATTTAAAAAAAAAATTTTTTAGAATTTTTGGGTTTTTTTCGATTTTACAAATTTTTTTGACTTGAAAATGTCTTGAAGAAATTTTTTGGGCATAGTTTTAATTATACACCGTCAATTTCATTTTAAAAATTCAAAAAATCCCAAAGAAAATAATTTTTTGAAAAATTAATGTTTTATCGTATAAAATGTCTCCCAAAAAAAATTCAAACTCCAAAACAAAATTTCATCAAATTAAAAACTTTATTTAATGATAAAAAATGAAATAAAGTTTAAAACTTTTTTTCAGGAGTCCCACGGAGACAACCTCAACTTCATTCCGCTGACCAACGTCCTCTCCAATGTCCAATACAACGGCAACGAGTCGGGTCTGAGTGGGATCAAATTCTCAGCACTCCTGCCGCCGGCCGAGAAGTCGAAGGAGTTCTGGGTGTACGAAGGCTCAGAGACCGTGGAACCGTACAGAGAGACCGTGAAATGGGTCGTGTTCAGATCGGCGATTCCTGTTTCGTCCGAACAGGTGAGGATTGGGATTTTTGGGGGGATTTGAAGGTTTTTGAAGATTTTTTTTTGATTTTTTGTCAATTTTTCCGATTTTTTAAATTTTCAAAATGCCTGAGATCAACTTTCCTAAAAAATTTTGTTATTTTTTTTTTTTGATTTTTTTTTTAAATTTTTTATAATTTTTTAGATTTTTTGCATTTGAAAATGTCTGAAATCAATTTTCCAAAAAAAAATTATTATTATTATTTTTTTTTTCATTTTTTTATTTATTTTTTAAATCTTTTATAGTTTTTTTGATTTTTTTGAATTTTCAGAAAGCCTAAATTTAATTTTCTTAAAAAATTTTTTGATATTTTTTTTATTTTTTTGATTGTTTTTTTATTTTTTGGATTTTTTTTATTTATTTTTTAAATTTTTTATAATTTTTTTAATTTTTTTGAATTTTCAGAAAGCCTAAATTTCATTTTCTTAAAAAATTTTTTGATATTTTTTTTTATTTTTTTGATTGTTTTTTTATTTTTTGGATTTTTTTTATTTATTTTTTAAATTTTTTATAATTTTTTTAATTTTTTTGAATTTTCAGAAAGCCTAAATTTCATTTTCTTAAAAAATTTTTTGATATTTTTTATTTTTTTCCGATTTTTATCTTTTTTAAAAAAAATATTTTCCAGCATTTTTACCCAATAATTTTCCAACTTCTCTCCCCTAATTCCCTTTATTTTCAGTTAGAAAAGCTCCGTCAACTGAATCGAACCCGTTACGAAGACGAAGTTGAGGCCAAGATGACCCCGATCCGGCCGATTCAAGCTCTGAATGGGCGTCTCGCCCGATCTTCGTTCAAATCCGTGGCCCAGGCCGAACTTCCTTGACGAATCCGGAAAATTGGAATATGCAGAGTTAATTCGGTTTTGGAATTTTATGCAAAAAATGATAATCATCGCTTGTGAATGGATCTCCAAGATTTTCTATTAAAAATTCAGTAAGAAATTGTCTGATTTTTATCGAAATAAATTTATTTTTTGAGATTTTTTGAAAAAAATTTTTTTTTTAATTTTGATTTTTTTTTCAAAAATTTAAAAAATTGGAGCAAATAACATCGTATTTTTAAAAATCTACCCAAAAAATTTGATAGTTTTCTATTTTTGGCATGAAAATTATCTTGCATTAGATAATATCAGATGTAATATAAGCCAATTCGGATCTGCGTAGTTATAATCCGCCTATTCAGAGATTAGAAAACGTTCTGGAAGGAGCGGTCAACACTAATCGGAAGGAAGTTTGGTCCCTCCAGATTGCACAATTTTTAAAATATTAATTTTTGCACTGTGCAGTCCAATAAAGTTCTTCGCACCGTGCAAAAAAAATTTTGTCAAAAATTTTGCACTGTGCAATCAAAAATTTTAGGAGAATTTTGGCACTGTGCAACAAAAAAAGTTGTTTGAAAAATTCGCACCGTACGGGAAAACTTCAGCCAAAAATTTTGCACGGTGCAGCAAATAATTTTTCAAAAATTTTGCACAGTGCAAAAAAAATTTTCAAAAATTTTGCACTGTGCAATCGAAAAGTTTGAGGAGAACTTTTGCACTGTGCGACAACAAATTTCTTCAAAAATTTTGCACAGTGCAAAAAAAATTTTCAAAAATTTTGCACTGTGCAATTGAAAAGTTTGAGGAGAACTTTTGCACTGTGCGACAAACAATTTTTCAAAAATTTTGCGCTGTGCAGTCCAAAAAAATCTTCAAAAATTTTGCACTGTGCAATTGAAAAGGTTTAGGAGAACTTTTGCACTGTGCGACAAAAATTTTCTTCAAAAATTTTGCACAGTGCAAAAAAAAATTTCAAAAATTTTGCACTGTGCAATTGAAAAGGTTTAGGAGAACTTTTGCACTGTGCGACAAAAATTTTCTTCAAAAATTTTGCACAGTGCAAAAAAAAATTTCAAAAATTTTGCACTGTGCAATTGAAAAGTTTGAGGAGAACTTTTGCACTGTGCGACAAACAATTTTTCAAAAATTTTGCGCTGTGCAGTCCAAAAAAATCTTCAAAAATTTTGCACTGTGCAATTGAAAAGGTTTAGGAGAACTTTTGCACTGTGCGACAAAAATTTTCTTCAAAAATTTTGCACAGTGCAAAAAAAAATTTCAAAAATTTTGCACTGTGCAATTGAAAAGGTTTAGGAGAACTTTTGCACTGTGCGACAAAAATTTTCTTCAAAAATTTTGCACAGTGCAAAAAAAAATTTCAAAAATTTTGCACTGTGCAATTGAAAAGGTTTAGGAGAACTTTTGCACTGTGCGACAAAAATTTTCTTCAAAAATTTTGCACAGTGCAAAAAAAAATTTCAAAAATTTTGCACTGTGCAATTGAAAAGTTTGAGGAGAACTTTTGCACTGTGCGACAAACAATTTTTCAAAAATTTTGCGCTGTGCAGTCCAAAAAAATCTTCAAAAATTTTGCACTGTGCAATTGAAAAGGTTTAGGAGAACTTTTGCACTGTGCGACAAAAATTTTCTTCAAAAATTTTGCGCAGTGCAAAAAAAAATTTTGTCAAAAGTTTTGCACTGCGCATCCAAAATCTTTTTTTAGAAAGCTGCACTGTGCAGTCAAATTCGGACTTTTTTTAAATTCAAATTCAAAAAAAATTTTTTTTAAATTGAATAATAGTTCGACTTCCCGGTTCCACTTGACGTGCTTTTCCAGCACTTTTACTCGGTAACTTCCCCATTACCACTAATCTGCATTATTTTTTTTCGTAAAATCCCATTCCATTCATCGCATAACATCAGCGGCACGTGATTCGCCGAAAAGGGGGTCCTGTGGGTGAACACCACGGTAATTAGGTATATATTTACAAGTCAGTCTGCACTTTTATTTTTAGAAATTTTTTCTGCACTGTGCAGCCAAAAAATATTACGTAATTTTTCGGGCCGAAGCTGAGACCGTCGTCGTAATTGCTACCTGCAATTTGGACGACGAGAGATTGTGTTTCGTCAGTAACAAGCTGTGTTTGGAGAAATGTTTCGTCAAAATATTATCCATGACGACAGGTGTGGAAAGCGGTAATTAGCGGGTGATTAACGGGAGATTCAGCGGTGGGGGAGAGTAAAAATGACGTGTGGAGGGGCTTAGGGCAATCTAAGACCATATTTGGCAATTTCCGAGCACCACCCGCAATTTTGGAATTTTTTGATTCCGCACGGTGCAAATTTATTTTAACTGCAGTAAAAAGTTGAAAACTTCAAAAAAATTTTTTTACTATTCACAAAATATGACCAATTTGGCTTTATCTAGACTTTTTATAATCCATTTTTGGTCATCGGACATTCACCCTTGCACCGTGCAAAAAGCTGAAAATTCCGCACAGTGCAGAATTTAAAAAATCCTAAAAATCGTTTAAAATACGAGAGGAAAAGTGTTTCGTTTTAAAAATTATATCCCCTGACGTTCATTAAGACATTATGACAGCATTTGATTTTTCTAAAATATGCCCCAGGGAAATTACGAAAGTTCGAAAACTTCGCACTGTGCAAAATTTTAAAAGGCCTAGAAATCAGCCAAAAATAAGTGAAAAAACTTGCAGCTAGAAAAATAAGGCAACGACAACTTTATTTTCTCATATTCAACGTATTCTATTGTTCTAAAATACGGATTTTTGCACTTGGAAAAATCTAAAATTTCGCACGGTGCGAAATTTTAAAGGAGTCATAATCACTAAAAATGATACAAAAATATTTGTAAACAGAAAAAGCAGCTTATTTTCCGACAAATCTCTTTTATTTACTGTATTTCGAGTTTCTAAAATACGAATTTTCCGCGAATTACGAAAACAAAATTTTGCACTGTGCGAAATTTTAAAAGGCCTAGAAATCAGCCAAAAATAAGTGAAAAAACTTGCAGCTAGAAAAATAAGGCAACGACAACTTTATTTTCTCATATTCAACGTATTCTATTGTTCTAAAATACGGATTTTTGCACTTGGAAAAATCTAAAATTTCGCACGGTGCGAAATTTTAAAGGAGTCATAATCACTAAAAATGATACAAAAATATTTGTAAACAGAAAAAGCAGCTTATTTTCCGACAAATCTCTTTTATTTACTGTATTTCGAGTTTCTAAAATACGAATTTTCCGCGAATTACGAAAACAAAATTTTGCACTGTGCGAAATTTTAAAAGTCTCAAAACTACTGAAAAAGTTGTCAAAGTATATTATAAGCCGAAGAATCGTATTATTCTGCCTCTTCTTTTTATTTTTTACATTATTTTAATTTTGTAAAATACGACCTTCTCAGTTATGTAATGGTATTAAAAATTTCGCACCGTGCAAAATAAAAAAATCTCGTAATAACGTCCCAAAAAAGCTTAAAACGTCTGTCATCAAGATTCACGTCCTCCGTACGTGAATTTCCGTCAGAATCCTGAGACATTTCGCACTCCTTCACTTCCAACAATACACGTCATCCCCAAAAAAGTCTCAAAATCTGAAGCCTCAAAGAACTTTTAACTTCTAATCCGCTTGGCTCAAACATCTTCCACTTGCATCATTGCGAATAAATTACTGGACAAATAACGAATTTAGCGAGCGAACTAATGGCTGGATATTGTAGTAGAGACCTAATCCTCTTGTTCGAAAGGCGATTATTTATTATACGATTTCATAACAAAAGCACTTTGCTTATAGTCCAAATAGTACAAAAATTGCCTTCTGACGTACATCAGGGCTCGTACTTTACAAAACCAACGAAATTTTAAAAATAAAATTTTTCGTATAAAGCATCTACAGAATTTAGCATTTCAAAAAAATCCGTCATCAATCTGTCATGCTGACATATTTTTTTGGAAATTTCCAAAAACTAGCGTTTTGAAAATTCAGCCAAAATTTTAGGTTTTTTATATGCAAACATAAAATTTTGACGGGTTAGGAGATCGTATTTTAAAAATTTTCAAAAATTAAAAAAAAATTTTCGTATAAAATGTCGCCAATTCTTCAAACGAGGAAATTTATATTTTTCCACTAAATTTTTATGGTCTACCGTACCATCAAACAGAGAATTTTCATATTTCCAAAAGATATGTTATCATCTATGTCATGATGACATATTTTTTGGAAACTTGCAGAAATCGAAATTTCAAAAGTTTATTTTTATTTTTTACCTCTTTTCCATCTAATTTTTGATTTCCAAACCCCAGAAGTCATCCTTTTACCCGTAAACATCCATATTTTCATTAGTCTCCCTTCTATTTTTGGCCAAATTATGGATATAATATCTGCCTTTATTTCCCAATAACCCTCCTGATTAGTGGCTCAAAACACAACAACTGCTGTGTCCACACTAATCTGCAGGCAAAACACTCAAAATTTCTTGCGTAACCGGCAATCTTTCGCGATTACGTCGCATGCTTCCTGGCCGTCGACGTCAAAGGGACGAGTTTTGCGAAAGCCGCATGTATTTCGGGGCCAGATTAGGGGCTATGGGCGGGGTTGGCGGGCTCCTCTTCACCAGGAAGCCGTCTATATAACCCTTGGCCTGCGGAATTCGGCCCGATGATGTGGGTCGGGTAATTAGGGTTTTGGGCCGCGAATTTCGAGCCGCGTCTTGAATATAAAGATGCCGAAACGTGTTCAAATCTCTATTCCTGCTTTTTAGGAGCTATTCAACCCGCTTTGCCTGCGGCAATTTGCGCTACAAGCCAGTGGGAGCTTTGGAAATTTTTTGCACTGTGCAATCGAAAGATTGCTGATTTTCTTGCTGATTTTGAGGCTGTTGCTGGGAATTTTTGCTACTGCTTGACAGCCTAAGTCTTACTGTATCACAGAAAATCGATCTACCAACTTTTCGAGCCTTTGTACTTTGCCTACATCACGTTTTACCATCTGCACTGTGCAATCGACAAATTTTGAATTTCCCGCCAAATTCAAATCCTGATTTGAATTTTTTTGACTCTACTGTGTAGTCAAGGACCTACAACTTCAACAAAATCCAATTCCACACCACGTCACCCGCTCTTTCCTCGACTACACTACAATTTCGTCATCTACAATATCGGAAAGCCCGTTTTTTGTTGTCCCTTGCCGATTTCTCAAGTGTTTGTGCTAGCATCGACCTGCATTGTCGTCATTAGCCATCCCCTCATAACCGAGTGTAGTCATACGATACCCACTACATCTTACGCGGAGCAACGCCCATTTTTCTCGCTTCTTCAAAAGCCCTCTTCTCCTCTAATTGAACCGGCCAATACTGCTTTCGTATTAGGTCGGTAGTAATTTGACAGCCCCTGGTATACTGTAGAGACTCTATATTTTCTACAAGCAATTTAAATTCGGGCTGTTTCGACTGTTTTCAACACTTTTTGTCTACTACAATATCAGAGGTCCACAGAATTTCGATTTTTTGGATTTTTTTGATTCTCACTGAATCTACCGCAACAAAATCAACAGTACACCAAAATGGGACTCGGTAAATGCTTGGTTCGCAAGTTTTTCGGCCGAACGGACAACTGTTTCCTCGATGAATGCGAGCTGGAAGACCTGATCAACCGGTTGTTGGTGATAAAAGGCCTTCTTCTCGGCGGATACACGGACGAACAGAGGAACATGGAGCTACAGTCGAGACTACGAACTATTGGATATATGGGAGAGGAGGTGAGAGAGTTTGAGATCGAAATATTTTGAAATTCAAAAAAATACGTCATGATGACAGATTTTTGAAATTACATAAAACTTGGCTGAATTGAAGGTCATAGTGTTGTAAGCAATTTTGAGGAAATTTTAGATCGCGTTATGCAGAAACAACCTCGATATAAGGGTTTTAGAAGCAAAAAATCTTGATTTTCTTTGAAAAGCTTAATAAATGGTTATTTTATGTTGCAAGTAGGTCAATAATGAATTCTAAGCGTTTTCTCTGACTTATTTCGAGTAAAAATCAATTTTTTAAGCTAAAAACGGGATTTTTTAAACTTTAAGCTGTTATATTTCAGTTGTTTCTGCATAACGCGATTTGAAAATTTCACGAAATTATTCAGCATTATTTACATTTATTTGTGTCAAGTTTCAAAAAAATCCAAAAATTTTTTTCCAATTCAAAATCGAGATTTTTAAAAATTTTCCCCAAAAAATCAAAAAAAAATTTTTTTTTTTCATTTTTTCAATTTTACTTTTTCAGAACGTCCACGACATGGAAGAGTACCTAGTCGAGCGAATCGAAGACCTACTCATCAATTTCGACCTGGCCGAGCGACTCTCCTTCCTCCACGCGCAGCCCAGGAACTTCGTGTTGAAAGTGGCCGAAGACATGGGAATCGACCTCGACGATGGCCTCAAAAACGCCGAGAGAACGCCGGACGGACGTCGCTCGGTGGAGGAGCGATGCGCTCGAGGGGAATTCGACTCAATTTTCTAAAGTTCAAAAATATCAAAAAAATTGCCTTATCAGAGATAATATTACTTATATTATACTGGGAAACTGTAATAAATGTACATAATATTGGTTGAAAATCATTTTTGACAGGATTTTAATTAATTTTGCCTATAAATACGGCAAAAAAATTTCAAAATTTCAAAATTTTTTTTTTGAAATTTTCAAATAAAAAATTACCATGTTTTTCGGAGTGTAAAATAAAATATTCCTACAAAAAATCAATTTTTTCGAAACAAAATTCAAGGAGATACAGAGAAAAACTTGATTTTCTCCGACCGTCTCTTCATTTTTCACAGTCTCTCCATTGCAAAGATGGCTCAATATCTCGGTTGTTCTTGCAAAGCGAGAGCTAAAATTTTCAGCGATCAAAACATAGCCCATGGGTATGGACTTGGCCAAATTTCAGGCGAATCTGAAATTCCCGCTTTGAGCACTGAGCTCATGAATCATACAAGATCAGGTGTCAAGTATAATATAAAATTCTCGAAAATATTTCAATGAATGACTACTGTGTTATCAAAAATGCGAAATACTATCTTTCTTCTTCTTTTTTCAGCAACTTTTCCATACAAAAGTTGCCAAAAAAACCGAATTTTTCCCGATTTTCCCTCAAAACCCGAATTTTTCCTCCTTTTTCCGCCGAAAAATCACTTTGTTTCCATTCTCTCTATTCATCGGCCGCATCCCCGGCCTCAGCTGCAAAGGCCATGTCGGGAACGCAGTCGTCGAGTGATCCGAAAGCGCCAGCGGCCCCATCCAAGCCGGCGGCCAAGCCTTTCAGTTCGCCGCAGCTCCCGAAGCATACGATCACATCGCCGGTTATTGCGGCCGCCGTCACGCAGAGCAATGTGCTGAGCGCGTTGCATCCGCAAGCACAGGCCACACATGTCCAGGTAGGGTGGTTTTTGGAAATTTTTTAACGAAAAATTAATTTAATGTTTTCGTGGCGGTACCCGAATTTTTGAAATTTTTTGGGATTTTTGGAGGGTTTACTGATTTTTCAAGTGAATTTGTGATCCAGATAGGGTTGTTTCAGGGTATTTTTGACCAAAAAATAAGTTAAATGTTTTCGTGGTGGGACTAAAATTTTTTGAAATTTTCGGGATTTTTAGAGAAATTACTGATTTTTCAAGTCAATTTGTAATCCGGATAGTTTTATTTAGGTTTTTTTAGACGAAAAATTAATTTAATGTTTTCGTGACGGGACTCAAATTTTTTGAAATTTTTGGGATTTTTAGAGGAATTACTGATTTGAACGGGTAAAATAATGTTTCCGTCATACTATTTTCGTATTTTATATTTATTTTTCATCAAAAAAAAATTTTGTCGCATCAATTTTTCGAAAAAAAAATTTTTTTGGTCGCATCACGAAAACCTTTTTTTTGGCTGCCACAAATTTGTCCCATTTTTAACAAAAAATTTACTTTCAATTTACCCACTACAAAAAAATTATTTCCAGGCCTCGAACGCGGCCGTAATTTCGGCCACCAATGCCGAGAAGACGAAGGAAAATGGTCCGGGAACCCCGAGCCCCCCACCCAGCGCCGCCACCACCACCTCGACACTGACCTCAACGCCAGGCACGAACCTCACCAGTCTGAAGAACTTCCGGTCGATTTACGCGAAGGAGATCCGCGAGAGCTACTTCCAGCTGGCGCACCGCGAATCGGTCTCGTTCGCCGAGCATTTCGTGGCCGGCGGCATGGGCGGAATGGTCATGGTGCTGGTGGGACACCCCTTCGACACTGTCAAGGTCAGATTACAAAGTATGCCGGCGCCGGTCAAGGGCCAGACCCCCATGTACAGCGGGATGATGGACTGTGTGAAGAAGACTTACAAAGCGGAGGGATTTACGGTAGGTTGGGGGAAAGAGAGCGGCCTGAAAGTTGTTGTGGGGTCATTGTAGGCCATAGCGATCAATTTGGAGAATTTTTATCCGGGTTGGCCCTTTGCACAGTGCAATTTTTCCAATTTGATATTTGCACTGTGCAATACAAATTTTTTCGAAATTACAGTAACCTAGGCATCGGAAATGCTTCAAGATTCTTGTAGGATCATTTTTTTCACCGTAGAGATGAATACGGAGAATTTTTATCCGTATTGACCATTTGCACAGTGCAATTTCCCCGATTTTCTGTTTGCACTGTGCAATATAAATTTTCTTGAACCTACAGTAATCCAGAAGTATGTAGCGTCTTCAAAATTTTTTTGGGGTCATTGTAGACCATTGCGATGAATTTGGAAAAAGTTTCCCCGAGTTGAGCCTCTGCACAGTGCAGTTTTCCGATTTTCTATGTTTGCACGGTGCAATAGAATATTTTTGAAATTACAGTAATCCCGAAGCAGATAATGACTTCAAAATTGTTTTGGGGCCATTGTAGACTATTGCAATCAATTTGGAGAAAGTTTATCCGGGTTGACCGTTTGCACAAAGCAATTTTTCCAATTTCTTGTTTGCACGGTGCAATATAATTTTTTTGAAATTACAGTAACCTAGAAATGGAAAAGTAGTTAGAAATTTTTGTAGGGTTATCAGAGGTTCTAAAAAAATTATTTGGTGTTTTTTGGTCAAAATTTTTCCATTGCACAGTGCAATTTTTTCAATTTCTTGTTTGCACCGTGCAATATAAATTTTTGTGGAATTACAGGAATCGTGGTAGGAAAAACGAGCTTATTTTTTATGCGGAGTCATGTGAGGCCCTAAAAATCAATTTTGAGAATTTTGGGTATCTTTTTTTCTTTTGAACCGTGCAGCTTTTCACGTCTTTTGTTCTGCACAGTGCGGTTTACTTGAATTTTCAAATACTTCCGCAATATGTAAATTCCCGTCATTTTAGGGATTCTTCCGTGGAATGGGAGCTCCAATCACAGGGATCACTCCGTTGAATTCCATTTTCTTCGGTCTCAATGCCGTCTGTTGTGAACTTCAGCAGTCGTATTTTAGGACACCAACCTTGACGTTATGGCAGGTAAGCGGTTTCGTGGGTTGTTTTACCCTCATTTCAAGGCTCTGGAGACGGCTATATATTATTTTATAATACTTTCATTACTTTCTTGGGGATTTGAATTTATGGTCGTGGGTCTCGCCGCGAAAACTTGAATTTTTGAATTTGGGCCTCAAATCGATCTAGCGTCACTTCTTATGTCCTAAGATGTAATGCCAAACAATTTTAAGCCATTATTGACATCAAAAAAACGTTAAATTTGAACATTTACCTACTACAATAACCAATAAATCCCCATTTTTTCAGATTTTCAACGCCGGAGCCTTCTCAGCCGCCGTGATGTGCCTGTTTACGGCGCCAATCGAGCGAGTCAAGTGTTTGTTGCAGGTCCAGCACAGTATGGGGACGTCCCTTTACAAGGGACCCATGGATGTGGCCAGAAAACTGTATAAACAACATGGAATTGCGGCCGTTTATCGGGGATTCTTGATTACTTTGGCAAGAGGCAAGCTCATTCTTACTTTGACGTCATCTCTAATCGAGTTTGAGCCCAATTTGCGACTTTTGGGAGGTGTTTGAAAAATTCCAGAAAATCCGTCATCGTGATGAATTTCTGGGGAAAATCGGTCATCCTATTGGTCGAAAATTTTTTAGCAGAATGCTATCAGCATGCAAATCGGATTTTGGTCAAAAATCTTAATCAAAAAATGGTCTTAAAGATGTCATGATGACGGATTTTCTGGAAATTCCCCTAAATTTAGCTGAAATCGGGAAATTTCTGGTGAAAAATCGTGATTATCAATGACATGGAAAGTCAGGATTCAATTTTAAAGATAAACTTTATATTCGAACTGTTTTATGATGACGGATTTTCTGGAATTTCCTTTCAAGACTGGGAAAAGCAACTTTTTTCAACTTTCCGTCAAATTTTTTGTTGTTTTATCGAATAAAAATTCCAGATATTCCATCATACGGCACTAAGATGGCAGTCTACGAGTACATCAAACGACAAATGGCGGATCCAGCCAAGAACGAACGGCCTTCTCCAATGGCAACGCTTATGGCTGGCGGAATTGCTGGGATTTTCTTTTGGCTGGTAAGATTTTTGTTCGCATTTTAAGCTGTTTAGTTTCCTTATGTCCTATTGAGCCGATTTCATCCATTTTCAATCGAAGAAAATTCAAAAAAATTGATTCCCGCTTGGCTTGGCATTCTGTTCTAGGGTTTAAAATGCATGGAAAACGAGTCAAAATTGTACGATCAGCATATTTACGATGCAATGAAGCATATAAAATCCCTTTAGAATTTTATTTTTTAAATTTCCGCCATTCTTGGCATTCTGTTTCAAGTTGAGGTAAAGGCGTATCTTAGTCGAAAAAACATGATTTCGTAGTAGAATACGAAATTTGCAGACCTAAAATTACTATGAGGACCATAAGAAAATTACATTTTTGAATTCCCGCCATTTTTGGCATTCTGTTTCAAGTGGAAAAGTATCCATATTTGAGCTTAAAAATAATGACCAAGTGGTAAAATACGTCAATGACAGCTTTGTATGCATTATCTATTAAAAAATTTCAGGTCTGTATCCCCCAGGACACCCTGAAATCCTACCTCCAATCCGCCCCCGAAGGTCATTTCCCCCGCGGCACTCGCGACGTTTGGCGTGTCCTGATGAAAGAAGAAGGCCCGAAAGGACTGTTCCGCGGCCTCAGTCCACTCATGGCCCGAGCGTTCCCCGCGAACGCCGCTTGTTTCCTGGGCGTGGAGCTCACAATGTTGGCCTTTGACACCTTCACGGGCCCATTGAAACCGGTCATGGACTGGCCCAGCTTCGTGGTCGAGGATCAGGAAATGACGTCATTGAAGGGACATAAGGTTCAGAAGAATGAGAAACTGCCGGAGAAAAGAAAGGAGATTTGAGATTTGGATATTACTTTAGATTGATAAAGGGTTCAAAAAATTGGATTTTTTTGATGAAATGGGTAAATAATAACTTGAAATTTTGTTTCATGGTAAAATACGAGTCTTTCTCTTTTGTTGCTTAATTTCAAATTCATAAACCTAAATTTGACAAAGTTATGGACATTACTTTATATTGTACTTGGTATTAATGTCCCTTTTGCTATTTTTAGCTTATAAATGATAATTCTGCAGCAAAACTGCACGCCAGAGCACATGAAAAGGTCTGAAAAACATGATTAGCTGTATTCACGAGGGTTGTTAAGGCTCAAAGCACATCTTGTGACGAGCATTCGTCAACGCACTTTGTTGCCTAAAATAAGGTCGGAAAAAATTGTAGTGGCTGTTTTCCGTTGGCCTATAGCAAAATACTCTCTATTATAACATTCTTGCAAAATCTTAACGTTATTGGCCTTTGTTACTCGTCAAATTTATATTACTTTAGGTTGATGTCATGAACAATAAAAAAGTTAATAAAACTCAGGATTTTTGCAAAAATACGGTTTTAAAATACGTACTTCATAGTATCTGTAATTTTTTCGGCTCGGGGTAATGAATAAAGCTACAATTTTCAAATTTTGAATTTCCCGCCAATTTTGGCATTCCGTTGCAACCCTTGATTTGTGTCAATTTGGCGTCCCACTTGGTCAAACTTGCCTTTAAATCAAATTTAAGCCAATTTTCAGTAGCATAGGCTCTATAATTTTTGAAAAAAACATCTTATTTTTCCTAAAGTTATATTATCCATGACATTTCTTGCAATTTCTACAAAAAAATCGTCGAATATTGCCGACTTTCAACCAAAATCTAACCTCATCTTTATCTACAAGTAATATAAACGATATTTTTGCATTGAGATCGATCAAATTTCCCCACATTCGCCGATGTTTCGGGGTCTAAGGCCAGGGCGGAAGATGAAGATAGCCCATTCTCTCCTGTTTCAGATTCATAATCGAGGGCTCGAAGAAGAAGTTGAGCTTGATGTGACAAGCCACGTCGAAGATCTTCACCTCCATGTCCACAATCTCCATGTCGATCTCTTTTTGGGTGACAACATGGCCGAAAAGTTGTTGGACCAGCTTCGGATAGGCGGCCGAGACAATAAACTGGAAAATAACGAGAAAATTAGATGATATATGGCATAAAAACATGGATTTCGTAGACTTACCTCCTCTTCAAAGTTCATAAACGCCTCGTAATCGAATTTTTTGATGCGGAATCCAAGAGTGCGGAAGGCTCGAAGCATGGATTCAAGATTTTGCTTCAGGTTTTTGAGTTCTGCATCCAATTCGGCTTGTTTCTGAAAGACAGTCAGCTGTTTTTTTGATTTTTTTTTGGAAATTGCATTGTGCAAAATTTTTGTTTTGTTTTGCACACTGCACAGTGCAGATTTGTTTTCGCACGGTGCAGTTCAACTCGGATTCGTGTGCACTGTGCGAAATTTTGTTTGCACAGTGCAGTCCATTCGTTTTCGTCTGCACGGTGCAAAATGTTTGCTTTTTTCTCGCACAGTGCAGTTCAATCATGTTCATAAAAATTTTGCTTTTCTCGCACGGTGCAGCCCTGTCGTGTTCGTCTGCACAGTGCAAAATTATCGTTTTTTTGGCACGAAAAAGGCACAATGCATTTTCGCAATGCCTCAAATTCGGACACTGCCATAGGCCGCACAATACAGACGCAGATTCTCTCTATCGACTGCACAGTGCAAAAATTTCGACCCCCTGCCCGCGCCAGGACAAAAATTGGGGAATTTACAATAAAAATTAAATAAAGCAATTTTGGAAATAATTTTTCAGTTTATCGCTTATAAATAATACTAAAAAGGTGTGAGATCTGAGGAAACTAAAATTATTGCCCTACTAGCAATTTAAACCGGTTTTTGAGGCAAAAAGCGGTTTCAAAGTGCTTTCGTATAATATGGCATCAATATTTTCAGAAGTATGGGGCGCAGCTCCAGCTTTTGACAGAAATATATTTTTTCCAAAATCAGATTGGCGTGCGCACCGTACAAAAAGGTAAGAAAAAAAAGCGGCACAGTGCGAAAAAATTTTGCTCAGTTGCACAGTGCGATGACTAAACTTTTGATTCGACTGCACAGTGCACACTCATTTTTTTGCCGCACAGTGCAAAAAAAGTTGAGCATAAAGTCGATAAAACTACAGTCAAAAACCGGTTCTAAAGTGGTAAAAAGTTATCGTAATTAATTTTAGACTATTTCCAGACCATTTATCGTTCGGTAAATTTACAAATTTACAAAAATTTTTCGAAAAAACTCGTTTTTTCTTGATTTTTCTTCCTTTTTCCTTAAAATCGACTAATTTCAAACTCCTAACGCAGTAAAAAGCCCTTCAAATTAAACTACCATATCCATTGCACAATTAACTTACCCCATGTTTCAAATGCACAGCCGCCCCGCCCCACAATTCGAGGGTTTTGACCATGGGAGCGGCCTCTTTGAAGTGCTGCACGGCCTGTCGATAAAAAACGTCCGGCTTAATCGCAGCGTCATGAATCAGCGTCACCAACAAGTAGTAGATCTTGGGCAGATTCTCATTCATCGAGTAGAACTTTTTCAGGTTGGGGCTGTAAAACTTCTCCAGAGTGAAAAAGTAGCGGGGATGCGAGATCAGCGCCGGATTCAGCGCCTTCTCGCGGCTCTGCCGATTCAAAACTAGTGGATTGCGGCCCTTGTTGACCTTGTCGAAGACGCGGTCGTTGTAGAATGTGAATTCGGCGTCTACAGGAACGCCATCGACCGTGAATAAGCACTCAACCACGTTGCGTTCCAGGTCGTAATCCGTCACGGTCTTATTGTAGATCTCCTTGAAGAGGACGGGGTAGTTGGAGTCATGGACTAGCTGAAATTTTGAGCTGTTTTTTGGGGCTTTATTATCGATTTTTTTGTTGGAAAAATTAGGGAGAAATGAGATTTTTTGGGCTTTAGAACCGATTTTTATCGGAAAAATGAAAGAAAATGGATTTTTTGGAGAAATTGGCGGTTTTTTTGGACAAAATGAGATTTTTTCACCGATTTTGGGTAAGCAGTAATACTATTTATGGACTTTATAAAATTTAGAGGGTATTTCAAGTGGGTTTGATGACTTTAAAATCAAGTTTTTGTAGAAAAAATGAGGGGAAATTGAATCTTTTGGAGAAATTGGCGGTTTTTTTGGACAAAATGAGATTTTTTCACCGATTTTGGGTAAGCAGTAATACTATTTATGGACTTTATAAAATTTAGAGGGTATTTCAAGTGGGTTTGATGACTTTAAAATCAAGTTTTTGTAGAAAAAATGAGGGGAAATTGAATCTTTTGGAGAAATTGGCGGGTTTTTTTGGACAAAATGAGATTTTTTTACCGATTTTGGATAAGCAGTAATACTATTTATGGACTATTTACGAACTCCGTAAAATTTAGAAAGTATTTTGAGCTGTTTTTGACGGCTTGAAAACCGATTTTTTGTTGGAAAAATAAAAAAAAAATAGATTTTTTTGGAGAAGTTGGCCGGTTTTTTGGACAAAATGAGATTTTTTGGATGCTTTTTGAATAAATGGTTATACTATTTATGGACATTATAAAATTTAGAAAGTATTTTGAGTGGTTTTGATGACTTTAAAACCGATTTTTTATCGGAAAAATTAAAGAAAATGGATTTTTTGGAGAAATTGGCGGATTTTTTGGACAAAATGAGATCTTTTTACCGATTTTGGATAAGCAGTAATACTATTTATGGAGTTTATAAAATTTAGAGGGTATTTCAAGTGGTTTTGTTGACTTTAAAACCGATTTTTTGTTGGAAAAATGAAGGAAACGTGTTTTTTTTTGACAAAATGAGATTTTTTTGGCTGATTTTGGGTAAACAGTAATATGTACTATTCATGCACTTTATAAAATTTAGAGGGTATTTTGAGTTGTTTTTGAGGCTATAAAACCTATTCTTTGTTGGAAAAATTAAAGAAAATGGATTCTTTTGGGGAAAGTGACGGTTTTGAGGACAAAACGTTATTTTTCAGCCCATTGTGTGTAAAAAATAATACTACTTACAGACTCTCTCAAATTTAGAGGGCGTTAAAATTGGTTCTTTGTTGTAAAACAATCGAAAATTGGTAGTTTTGACATAAAAATTTGGGTTTTTTGACAAAAAGTCATCTTGATTCCTAAAGTAATGTTTTTTTTTCCTTACCGGGAATGGAATGAACAGCGACACGACCATGATAACACTAGTGATTTCAATGCCACTCTTTTTCGCTGCCCGGATAATGAGTTGAATGCCCGCTTTCACATCTTCCAATTCGTCGGGGATCGTGTCGTGGTCCTGAAAAGGGTCGATAGAGTATGAGAAAAATGGAGAGCGGTCAGAGAGAAAAAACACTTTTAGGCCGTTTTTTGTCAGTGTTGTGGGGAAAAGATTCATTTTTTCTGGAAATTTCATTCTTTTTCATTTTTTTTTGTAAATTTGTTCTAGTTTTTGATAAAAAAAAAATTTTTGCGAAAAAACGTTTTTTCAGCCCTCCAGTTTTCACTGTGTAATGATTTAAAAAGATTCTAAAGAAAAAACTTACCGGTTCCTGCGGGAAATACTGATACCCCCCTTCCAAGGCGACCATCTTCAAATTGGGCGCAGTGGTCTTCAAATTCTGGGAGCAGACCTCGTAGAAGTGCTCGGCATCCTCCGAATCCGGATGCAGCAACGACACATCGATGATTAGTCGTTGCAAGCTCGTCTGAGGGATGGTCTTTGTTTTGTTGTAAAAGTCCTCCAGCCGAAGGAATTTCCGTTCGTCCAATTCGACGGCACCTGTTGGGAAAACTGAAAAGAAAATTTAGGTTGTTAATTTTGAATTTTTTTTTGCACTTTGCGAGTATTTAGTTTTTTTTTGCACTGTGCAAGAATTTACATTTCTTTCGCATTGTTCGAGAAACTACATTTTTTTGCACTGTGCAATAAATGACATGTTTTTTGCACTGTGCGGATAATCTAAATACTTTTTTGCACTGTGCGAAAATTTACTTTTTTTTGCACTGTGCAAGAAACTACATTTTTTTGCACTGTGCAATAATTGACATTTTTTTGCACCGTGCTATAATTCAATATTTTTGCACTGTGCGATAATATAATTACTTTTTTTGCACTGTGCAATAATTTACTTTCCTCGCACCGTGCAAGAATTTACATTTCTTTCGCACTGTGCGAGAAACTGCACTTTTTGCACTGTGCAATAATTGACATTTTTTTTGCACCGTGCAATAATTCCTATATTTTTGCACTGTACGATAATTTAATTACTTTTTTGCACTGTGCAATAACTGACACGTTTTTTGCACTGTGCAATAATGGACATGTATTTTGCACTGTGCGGATAATCTAAATACTTTTTTGCACTGTGCGAAAATTTACTTTTTTTTTGCACTGTGCAATAATTTGGACCATTATGCACTGCGCGATAATTAACTTTTTTGGCACCGTGCAAAAATTTCCTTTTTTCGCACTGTGCAATAGTTCTTTAGTTCTTCGCACTGTGCAATAAAAAAATTTTCTCGCACAGTGCAAAATTTTTTCATTTTCTTGGTTTTCGTGTCGCGACAATAAAACTCGTCACCGCACTGTGCAGTTTATCCCAGTCTCGTCGCACAGTGCGGTCAATCTTGTTTTTTTCGTTGCACCGTGCAGGATTGAGAAAATTTGCACGGTGCAATCGGTGATTTTCTAAACTTGCACAGTGTAAAAACAGGCGACGCAAAAGTTGTTCTTACAGTGTGTGAATAAAAATTATGTATTTTCGCACTGTGCAAACTCTATTTTTTTCCCCGCACAGTGCAGATTCACCTTAATTTTGGGCGATCCGCTCTGCCCTTTCGCACCGTGCAAAATCGAATCAAAAAAGCGTTCCAAAAATTGCCAAACCTACTCTGCTCTCCTGTCGCCTCATCCCAATCTCCATTCTCCGATGCATCCGTCCATTTGACCATCAAAAATATTACAATTCCCAAAAATTTCATTTTGAAAATTTTTCAAAAACTGCGCAAAAACAAAAGGATAAAAAGCAGATGACTCTTAGTGGGAATCGGGTGTTCCAATGACCGCTTTTAAAGGCCCTTGTGGAACCATCTCTTTGTAAGGTAGTCTCGACTCGGAGCCCTTTGTTTTCGCCCATTCGAACTTCCGTTTCCCCCCAAACTTTTACTACTTTCTTTGTTTTCCCACTTTTCCTTACTTTTTCGCTTATGAACGGAGGGCGAGTGGGCTGCGCGGGAGCGGGTGATAAACATCATCACCTATTTTTGTCGATTTATAGTCATTTTTCGCAATTTTTCCGAATTTTCTCGATTTTCTTTTCATTTCTTGAAATTTTAGGGTCTAAAAAATCACGAAGCTTACTGTGGTGGCTTAGTAAATTCTTACACAGCGAGAATTTCTTTGTTTTCAACGCTTTTCGGCTAGTTAAAATGAGATTTTCGCCTCAAACGCGTTTTTTTGCTAAAAATCACATTTAAACAAAGAAAAAAGTGAGGTAGCCCTTTCTTCATCATCTGTAAATTTTATTTTACTTTGGTTTTTATCAAGGCCCATCATTTGCGATCACTTTTTCCCATCGTAATCGCAAAAACTCGCTGAGAGAAAGAGTTGACCCAAAATGTGCCAGACTTGACCCAATCTCGGAAAAAGGCGCGGAATGGATGGAAATAACGACTGATGGTCGTATTTCCTTCGACTGGTCAATTGTCGGGCGGAGCAGCGTGGCGCAGTGGAAGCGCGTCGGGGTTGCCGACCCTGAAAGTCAGTGGATCGAAACCACTCGCTGCTGACCAAGTTTTCGACCGTTTTTCTTTATTTATATAAGAGAGGATGGTGTAACAAACTCTGTCGCAGCAGTAGCAACAATGCTCGGCCACAAAGATACTTCTAATTTACAATTTTATTCGATTTTTTGCAAAAAATCCTCTTTTTTTGGATAATTTGTCGATTTTCTATGCAAATTTGATGATAATTGTATGGATCTCGTATTTTACGTCAAATTTCAGACCATTTCCGAATAATTGGAAGAGAAATTATTGGTTATACATCAAAAAATTCACATTATTTTAGATGACTTTTATCAATTTTTTTATATTTTTTCACTTAAAAATCACTCTTATCTATCCAAAAATCCGACATTTTTCGTATTACTTTATTACCAATCAATAAACTCTTATTACAGCATCAAAATTCCCAAAAAAACACCCAAAAATCAAGTGTAATATCGAAAAGATTATATTGCACTAGCCAACTCGGCTCGATTCAGGCCCAAAAGTCGCAGCAAAGGAAGTGATTGCCCTCCACCTGACTTTGCACATCCACTCGGCGATCGGTGTTCGGCACACAGAGCGAGGAGGAGTTGCCTTTCGAGGCCTTGATGCAACGCTGCGGCAAGTCGGCGTCGAAGCGCCGATGACCGTAATTCCAGCGCGTGGAAGTGGGCGCTCCCAGCGAGGGCATCAATTTTTGCACATTCTCATTCAGCCGGAACAACTCCATGGTGTTGAAGTCGAAGGTTACGACGCATTTCACGCCATGAACTTGGATGGCCACATCAACATCGGCCTTGATCAGGTCCTTTTCGAACACTTTGGCGGCCAAAAGCTCACCCAACACCTCACTCATGTAAATCTGAAATCGATTTTAATACAAGGTTTTTTCGATTTTTTAATTATGGAAATTTGCACTGTGCAAATTTTTATTTTGACCGCACAGTGCGATGTAATCGGATTTTTTGCACTGTGCGCCAAAAAAACGAATTTTTTGCACAGTGCAAGATAAGCTAGATTTTGCACGGTGCGATAAAAATTCGCTTCTTGCACTGTGCAATGGAAATAAAAATATGCACTGTGCGATAAAAAAATAAGTTTGCACCGTGCAAAAAATTGATTTTTTGCACTGTGCAATTGGAAATAAAATTTGGCTTGCGATGAAAAAAGTTATTTTGCACAGTGCAAAGAAAAATAAATTTTGCACGGTGCGATAAAAATTTGAGCTGCACAGTGCATTCGAAATCAAAATTTGCACTGTGCGATGAAAAAAAATATTTTGCACCGTGCAGATTTTTAATTTGACCGCACAGTGCGATGTAATCGGATTTTTTGCACCGTGCAAAATAAGCTAGGTTTTGCACCGTGCGGAAAAAATTTGAGCTGCACTGTGAAATGGAAATAAAAATTTGCACTGTGCGATGAAAAAATATAAGTTCGCACCGTGCAAAAAAGGCTAAATTTTGCACAGTGCAATCGGAAATAAAATTTCGCACCGTGCGACAACAAATGAATGTTTTGCACGGTGCGGTTAAAATTCGCTTTTTGCGGAGTGCAACAGAAGAAAAAATTTTGCACTCAAAAATTCAAGTTTTTCCGCACTGTGCGAATTAAATCGGAGGCAAAAAATGAAGCTTTTGCACGGTGCATTGCCAATCAAAAGTTGCACTGTGCGATGAAAAAAAATATTTCGCACTGTGCAAAAAATTGACTTTCTGCACAGTGCAGTCAGAAATAAAATGTCGCACCGTGCACTCAAAAATTCAAGTTTTGCTGCACTGTGCAGATTAAATTGGAATCAATTTTCTATAAAAAATGGAAGGTACTCGTTGCGTATTTTACCAACTCACGTCTTTTTCGAAGATCAAATGGTCCAAGAAGTCGCATTGCCCGACTCTGATCGACTTTCTTCTCAATGGAGTGATAATCGAGGCAAACAATCTCTTCAAATGCTTGGCCTCGGGGACGAGGACGTCTGGGGAGTCCTGAAAATTAATTTTTATATTTTTTAAGTCCAATTTAGTCGTTTGAAAACGAAATTTTTAGATTTTTTCTTCGAATTTTGTGATTTTCCAAAGATTTCTTCAAAAAAAATCACTTTTTTCGACAATGTTTGTGATGTACACAGGACTGTTATGAAGCCAGAGATAAATTTTTTCATGTTTTAGATGATTTTGCGTACTTTCAAAGCAAAAATTTTTTGGGCTTTTCCTCAAAATTTTTTCCAATTTTCCAATTTTCCAAAATTTTTTCTGGACCTACCGAATTATCCGGGTAGTAAATGTACTCTCCGCCCTGTAAATGGATCAGTTTTACATGTGGCCACGCTCTTCGCACATTTTCCAGGCATTTTTCGTAGAATGCCTCAGGCGGTAGATTGGTATCATAAATCCCATGAACCGGGATCACCAGCGTCTCCACGTCGACTTGAGGAGTTGGATAGTGCTTGTCGAAGAACTCTTCGAGGGTTAGTTCGGTAACAAGGGCATTTCCGATTTTTTCGATCCGACGGACAGCTGAAAATTTGAGATTTTTTGGGGAAAAAATTGGGTAAAATACAGTAATTTAGGGGTAAAATAAATTCTTAAGGATAGTAAAATACGCTGCTGGTCATGACGCGTAAATAATTCACTTTTTTCCCGAGAAAAATCTCAAAATTTAAGATTTCTTTATCAAATTTGTCATGGATAATATAATTCGACATCTGAAAAGCAATTTTTATATACAAATTTGGCATTTATAGTGGTTTCAGACCATTTGCCACTTAATTGAATCCCTTCCCGTCACTTTTGAACGCTTATAACAGAATGCCAAAATTGGCGGGAAATTCAAATTTTTTGAAGATTTTTCCCCCGGATATGGCTGAAATGTATCCTAGAGGGTCTAGTAAGACTTGTAGTAACAGAATTTCTTATAAATGTTTTTTTCAGTAGAGTGATATTACAGTAAAAAGTAGTCAAGACCCCGTAAAACTTACATCGCTCCGTATGCAACGTCGCCAACGGCTCTCTCTCCTCAAAATGTCTCCCAGAGCACACCACACCCACAATAATCGCCACCGTACCCAAAAATAGCCGCAATCTTAGGGTCAAATACATCTCCGGATATTGTTTTAGACACCAGGTCCACCTTCTCCCAACAAATCACTCGTTGATGACTGAAACTTTCGCCTCGGACTTTCAATTTCATCCGCGAAGGCGGTCACAAGTCCAGTGAGATGACCAGTGCGGTCTCAGTCGTCATTTAGTTTGCGCCCTCAGGGCAAATTCGCAGGAAACGGGTTTTTTTGAAATTGCGCAATCCAAAAAAATCGAATGAATTTTCAAATGATTAGCTAATTTCGGACGTTAAACAATGATTTACAAGGGTTTTATAGTGTAAATGTCAGGAAAATTTAATAATTTTTGGAAAATGATGACAAAGATGGCTAAAGTAATATAAATTTTGATGTAAAAATGCAAAAAATATTGTAAAAAATACGTTTTCATTGGCAATTCGGTGATGACAAAGTATTTTTTTCTTGATTTTTCATCTTCGAAGAGTCGATTTTTCAAAAAATCTCGTTTTAAAAAAGTCCAAAAAATCCGTCATGATGACATATTTTTCAAATTTTTTCGGATTTTTTGAATGTAAATCAAATTTTGGGGCATCTCAAATATTTATTTGCATAGAATACGGAAATTAAGTATGTTTTTTCGACAATAATTTATATTATACTACATATCACTTATAGTTATGTAAATCGTCAAAGTGAAAAGTTCAGATCCTCTTCAAACTTTGCCTACAGTCTACATAAGACAAATTTTTAAACTTTTGAAAATTTGGACTCATTATTTTGAGCGAACCGCCAAGATTTCGAATGGTCTTGAAACGAGAGACCATGGAGAATGCGGAGACGGCGAGAGAAATTCTAGTTTTTCGTCTATATCTTTGCGGATTTCACTCGGAAAAAACTGACTTTTGGTGGAAATATTGTACACGACACTTCCAACGAGCTTGACAATTTTTTATTTCAAGTTTCAATAAAATTTTTTAATTTTTTGCGATTTTTCAGCTAAAAAATTTCAAATCTTGGTTTTTCAACGGTTAGATTTCGATTAAACTGATGCGCAATTTCGACAGAATTTTTTTTTGAGACCTATTCGTAATTTTTAGTTCGCATTTTGTTAAAAAAATCGAGGTTTTTTGACTGCAACTGTCAAAAATTCAAAAAATTTTTTTGCGATTTTCAAAATGAAAATTTGACATTGTGTTCGGACTGTCGAGTAGAACATTTTTCCAAAAAATCATATTTTTCCCTACGAAATCCGCCGAGATATTGGCGAAAACCCCGTGTTTTCTCCGACCGTCTCCGCATTTTCCATACTCTCTCGTCTTCCAAGATGGTTGAATATCTTGGCGTTGGCTGCAAGTTATGAGCCAAAATTTTCAGCAATTACTATGTAGGGTATACAGAATCTCTCTGCAAAATTTGAAGAAAATCCGAGAACAAAAATTTTTTTATATTATTCATCATCACCATCATTTTCCTCCGCACTTTCCTCCTTTTCATGATTCAAATGCTCCACCAAAAGTTGCGTTCGCACTTCCGCCGGCAACAATCGCACATATTCTCCATTTCGGATGATATTTCCGTCCACCAATTCCCTCTGAACGGTGTGAACGAACCGCCAGACCGCCGTTTTCCCCAACCTCCGCTCGAATTTGATGTAAATCACGGCCGGACCACTGTACGGTTCGTTGATCTTCGCTGACGAGGGGATTCGAACATCATCGCCGGTGAGACCAAGATTGCCGGTTCGCAGATAAACGGCGTTTGGTCGGAGATACAACGAATATTTGTCGATATTTCGCCCAATCTCCAGGTTGGTCATGGGGAAACGGTCGAAATTGAAGGAAAATGTGGGGGAAATGGTGAGAATAGCGGAGATTAAGATGATTCGGATCATCTGAAAGTAAAATACGGGCTCCGAAAATTTTCACTTTGCACCGTGCAAAAATCGAAAATTTGGATTTTGCACAGTGCAAAAATCAAAAAATCGCACTGTGCAAAATCAAAAAAAATTTAATTTGCACAGTGCAAAAATCGAAAATTTGGATTTTGCACAGTGCAAAAATCAAAAAATCGCACTGTGCAAAATCAAAAAAAATTTAATTTGCACAGTGCAAAAATCGAAAATTTTAGTTTTGCACCGTGCAAAAATCAAAAAATCGCACTGTGCAAAACCAAACAAAAAATGAATTTGCACAGTGCAAAAATCGAAAATTTTAGTTTTGCACCGTGCAAAAACACAAAATCCGCACAGTGCAAAAACAAAAAAATTTTAATTTGCACAGTGCGACAGCGCAAATAAGGATCGAAAACCCTCCAAAATAAATTCCCAATACCGTATTCTCTCCCCCAAATTGACAGCGCTTTCCGCTATAACAGTAGCGAAAACAAGCAAATAAAAAAATTAGCTGCTTTTGCGGTATTTAATAGCCCCAGGGTTTAACGTTCCCAAGGCGTTCGTAAAAACCCTCAAAGAATTTAAAGTCATGGAATTTCCGCTAGCGAAAATTTAATCTGGCGTGGCGAACAGTGGTTTGTAATAAAAAACGTTGATGAATTGCGTATTGTTCGCTGTGATGAGGCGAAAATTGGTATTAAAATGAGTGAAATATGTGTGAACTACCTTATTTTTCGCAAAGTGCAACGTATCATTTACAGCCCTTCCCCATATCATTACACCCTTTCAATATCGACAAATTTCAACGCTTAGCTTTTAACAATTATATTTTGGGGAATTTATTCAACATAACAAAAAACAAGATCCAAAAAAGGAGTCGCGCCCGCTTAGTCTTCCTGGTCCACGTTGACGGTGGTGAGTTTTTTGAAGTTGGTGACTGGGACGAAGGTTACCAAAGTGTAGAGCTTGTTCTGGCTGTCCTCATCTTCGTTGCGGCGGCGGGACAGACGGACTCGGATTCTGTATGGGACATTCCTGAAAATTTGGACAAAATTAGTTGAAAATAATATTATAGTAGATTCATGAAGTCAGCACTGATCTAAACATGAAATAAAATAATGAAAATAGGGCTTACTTGATTCCCTGGCTCCAGATGAACTTGTTCACACGGGTGTCAACACGGACATCGGTGGTTCCCATCTGCTTGGTGGCAAAGTCACGGATGGCTTGGATGGCGCGGGGAGCTCTTCTCTTAAATCCACTGAAAGAATCAGGCCATTAAAAGGTGTAAGGATACCCATTCATCCCATATCTAGCATCAAAGGTTGAAAAAACAGAGACCTTCTCCCAATTTTCTCTACTGTACATTAAATTTATATTCACCATGAAAAGCATCAAAAAATTTGCTTATACCAACGTTAAAACAATCGCGGAAGCAGTAAAAACCCTTGAACTACCACTTCCTTGCTTTAGGCCAACCAAAACAAAAAGAAATTCCGCACAAAAATCAAAAATAATATTCTACTTGACCTAGCTCAACGTATTCCTGCTCTACATCCAACAAAACACCAACAACCTCTCTCAAATTGTTGTATACCCCACCTAAAAGCCGACACGAAACTACGGAAACCAAACTTACATTCCGTGGATGTATTTGTGCAAGTGAACGGTGTATTCACGAGTCACCAGCTTGTTCAAAGCGTTCTTCGACTTACGGTCGGTCTTCTTGGCCACCATCTTAAAAACCTGAAATAATAAACAGTTCAATACTTTGTCTACAACAAATCTTCAGCAAAAATTCGATAAAAACACGAGAAAAACAAAAGAAAAAACTAAAATTTGAGATGAACAACATCCAGAAAAATCAATTGATCCTAAGATCACAAAAACTTCGATGTAACAACTAAAACTCGATGTAAAAAGGATCAAAAACTTCGCGAAATGGGTGGAAAAACATTTGAGGAAAAAATTTCCAGTGGAAAATGAATTCGGGCCTTTTCACCGTAATCTTGTTTTCGTGGCGGGACGCGGAATAAAGCTAGGTGTTATAAAAAAGGCCCGCAAAATTAGAAAAATAACTTCTAACTCTAGTTTTACCTTCAAAAATACGCTCCAAAAACAAAAACTGTTTATTACAAACCCGATGGGATCAATTTTACACCCGTCTAATTTTATAGGTATAACAATATAGTATAATATGTACATTATGGCAAAACTATCAATAACATAGCTGTGGAATGGGAGGATATGAGATTGTTGTTCAGAATATGAGATGATATGGCAGTAGAGAACTTATAGCACCGGTATTTCCATATTGTGATAGTCTCCATTTCGGATGATCTGCAAAAAAAGACCATAAAGTAATATAAATCCGTTCAATCCCAAAGATGTTGTTCTCATTCGAAAGCTCAGAGCTTCTACTTCCATTCAATTTCCCACCTTATTCAAGCAAGTCGAGTAATGCTGGAGGTTTACAAAAGCTGGTAGACTCCAATTTCCAATGGTCACCGGCTGGGTTAGAGTGAGATCACTGGTCATGATATTGAACAACACAGTAAAACACTGTCCATTCTGTCCGATCTGCTTCAATTTCGTTGGGAATACCTCGAATTCTTTGAGAAATGAGCTTGGGAATGCGGCTAGGTGCAATAGCCCAATTTTATTTCCGCTGACCATTTTCTCCGTTACAGTGACCGTGTTATTGGGTAAATTCTGAAACAGCACATCATCCACAACATTCTCAATTCAAAAACCTACACTTGCGAAAACACTATGATAAGTGACCAGTCGATTTTTCCTTTTTACCACATTCTTCATCAACTTTTTTAGGTCCTCCTCGGAAAATCTGATCCTTTCGTCGATTGTAGCTACATAATCTCCCGTGATTTCGTTGTAAGGGACTTCTAGATAGTTCCTTTGATCAAAATCAGTGATTTCTCGAAATTCGACTGGTCGATTTAGATGAGAAAATGCCGTGTTCTCCGGGGACTTTCCTCGAATTTTGGGCCATAAGACGATCACCTAAAATTACCAAAAAAATAATGTTCCTATAAAACTTTCTTACCTTTCTAACCTTCTCCATGTTCTTGATGATATCAATGATCTTATTCAATCTATTCGAGTACTTGCGATGGCACTGTATGAGCACCGTGAAGGTCGTAAAATTTGTTGTTTTAGGTGATGCGAAGAAGGAAAACGGTGGCGGGGAGTAAATTCTGTTGAAAATTATCTAAAAATCAAACTCATAATCAAAAACACGAACCCTTTACTCACTTTCAGACAAGAAATGACCATTTTTTCGATGTTTCCAAAAAATTTGTGATGTAACAATTGCCCAAAAGTACTCATTTCGACCATTTGAGAGGTGGGGATTTGCGCCAAATCGTCTGTGATCTAAATTTCAAACCATAATGAGCTCAAAAATCGATGCTTACGAAGAAAACTTGATCTTCTTGGGTATGAATAGCCGCTTGCTTCCAATCGATGATTTCGGAAAAGGGTAATACCCAGCCATCTGAGAGTACAACTGGTACACAACCTGTTGCCAGGACTTCAAGAAATCGATAAGAGCCCAATCTACGTCCTCTGGGAGTCAAGCAGAAGGATGAAGTTCGCAGAAGTTGTTGATAATCATATCTGAAGTTAAGTGTAACATAAAATTTCATCTCCGAGGTCTCGAAATGCCTAAAATCACAAGAAATCCCAATAGAAAACCCTTACAGCTCATAATTCTTGTTGTCCACCTCACATCGACTGTCCTTGAACTTCTCCCAATCAGTATTATGCTTACAAGTTGTTACAATCACACTCGAATTTCCATTATGCAGATGATAAAGACTATCACGCGTAGTTGAACCTATCCCATAGACATATCTCTTGCCCTTGAAGCTAACCAAATGATCATCAACAGCTGGATTCTTGGTTCGAATCAAAGTTGGCCTTCCTCGCAATGGATGGGTTGTGTGAAACAAGGGAAAACTGATGTCAAACCCATGCCGAAAGGTCTAAAAATCAACAAAAATGCGGGGAAATACTTACTGCTTCATTGGCGGAGGCCCAAGCCATTATAGCATAGCCGGGATCGAATCCGATATCTTTTTGTGAATAATCGGGGTAAGTACCATAGTACAAGTTGAAAATGACGTGATTCCGCCCTTCATTCCACAACTTTTGAGAGCTTATCAGACTTGGAAGATCCTTTACAAAGTTCTCACTAAAATTAGAACAAAAGTTTCGGTAAAACGTCGTGTATGAACATCAAAAAATCAAAATATTCACCTTAACCTATCCCGATCAGTTGTGTCCAGACTCAAGACAAAAAGACAAGCTTCTTCGGGGTTCTCAGTATAAAAATAGCTCTCTCGGAGCACTCTGAGGATCTTAGAGTATGCCGGAGAGACGATTGACGTTGGCTCTGTCGGATACACATACACTTTCATGTTGTTCTTCTGACATCTACTCCAGTCGAAACATTTTTCCATTGTGCATTCGTGAAACCGTCTAAATTTATTCAAATTGAAATTCGAAAGATTCACTGACATTTTTTCCACTTGTTCTTCATGTTTTCCTTGAGGATTTTGTTCGGATTTCACAAGGAAGTTCAAACTTCCGTATAGTAATAGGAGGCTTAGGAGACGTGGCCATTCTCGCATGGATGCCAATTTTATTGCGAAATGGTGGAACCGGATATAAATAGACGTTAGATGGATAACATAAACGTTCAGGAACGCTCCAAAAGGTTCAAGAAAGGAAAAAATAATTTTGACGAGCAGAGGGCTTCTCGCGAGCTGCGCCCGAAGATAAAATTTTTTTGTTATAATCGAAAAAGTAGCGTAAAAAATTAGGTTAAATTATGGCAATATATGTCATTTTGCATCTAGAAATCGATCCGTGGAATCTCCAACAGTTGTAACAAACGCATATTTTTTTTTTCAACGTCTTCCCTCTACCTGCTGATATAAAGTAATGTCGGAGGACCCGTGACTCCCATGTAATTCGTTACAGAATTGTTCCGAATGTTTTATTGATTGTATGTAGTCAATTTTCAACCAAAAATTCTACGAGCTTACTGTAGATTTCTTAAACAAACCACATGTTCTTTGAGTTCGGGCGCAGCCCGCCCCAATCCGTCTAAAACTTCCCGCGAATTCACTGGAATTTGTCGAACACTTGACTCGATTTCGAAAACCTGCGAAAAACACATGACCCGAAAGGGGAATTCTTGAAAATTCTGGACGAATCTCGCGAATTTCGTGCTTCAAACGCCGTTGAAGCGGGCGGAGTTTGTACGCTAATGTTGTTTTAACATTCCGCGGACATTTCGCCACTTTCTACGCCAGTTTCGCGTGTTTCAGTGGATTTTTGGCTGGATATAAGTTTATTTCTTGAATTTAGGCTAGTTTCTCGTGAGAGTATTCTTCCAAATCTGGCTTGAAGCTCGTTTAGGCCATTGTGAATAATTCTGTGACTGGTCTTCTGACTAAAACCTTCAACTTCCGCGTTTTTGGTGCAATTTTATATTATTTTAGACCCCCAAAAATTTTTTGTTTTTGTAACCGTTTGAGTCAAGGTAAATCCTGTTGCTAGGCATACGGTTTAAAGTGAATCATCTTGTAATTGGTATGTTGACTTTCTTCTTGAGGTTGTTTGTGCGTGAAATTCTATTTTTGGAATTTATTTTTGGTCTGATGTTACACTAGACGATTTGTGTGATTTTGATGAAAATTCTCCCAATTTTTTGGCATTTAATGTTTAGTTTATGGTTTTTTATACAGTTAAGGCTGTTTTGAAATTTTCTTTAGTCAGTTTAGCAACCTATCTGCTGTATTTTTGTCCATTATATTCTCCATGGCTGATGATTTCAGAATCTTGCCTGTTTGAGCCTGTTTTCCCATTATTTTTTGTCTGGAAAAAGCTTTAAAACAATCTCCAGACCATGTGCTATAACTTCCGCGTTTTTAAACCCCCTGATTCTCACAAAATTCGAGCTAATTTTACTTCGTTTCAGCGAACATTTGAACATTATAAACCCGAATCGAAGAATTGTATAATGTCAGTGGTCGGATTTGACTTTGGTAACCAGAATGCGTTTATTGCGGTGGCGAGAGCCGGTGGAATTGATGTGCTCATCAACGACTACTCCCTCCACGCCACACCGTAAGTTTTTTCGCAATTTTTTTCTTCTTGCTTTAGGTTGATGAAAACATCCGAAATGTCCTTGAAATTAGGGGCAGTGATTCATTTATTAATTAACGGGATCAGAAAGTGTTAACATGTATGGAAACGAGTGTAGAATTAAGGAAATTTCTGGAAGTTTCAACGTTGATATAAAAAGTTTTATAAACTACAAAATTTTGGAATGTGCAATGTAGCAAAATAATTATTGTAGCTGCACAATGAGTTTTAGGGCTTATTTATCGATAAGAACGTCTAAATGTTCAGGAATTCAAGTAGTTTTAGTAACTTCCTCATGGATAATATAAGGAGCTCTTCAAAATCATTTCTTTTTCAGAGCATGCGTCTCGTTTGGCAACAAGAACCGCCAAATGGGCGTAGCAGCCCGTCAGGGAGTCTCCACCAACTTTAAGAACACTGTGATGAACTTTAAACATCTCCTTGGACGCAAGTTTGACGACCCTGTAGTTCAAAAATACGCCGAGTTTATTCCCGCGCCACTGGCTCGCGGTCCCAACGGCGATGTCGTATTTGATGTGAACTATCTTGGAGAGCGGTTACAAGTCACCCCGCAGCAGATCACGGCCGCCCATTTGACCAAACTAAAGCAAATTACGGAGAGTCAAATTGGGGGCACAGTCAGCGACGTGGTGATCTCAGTGCCGCCGGCCTGGTCCAACGACCAACGCTTGGCTTTGTTGGAAGCTGGCCAAATTGCTGGATTGAATGTGTTGAAGGTTGTGAATGAAAATACCGCCGTCGGGATCGCCTATGGGATCTATAAAAAAGGGCTCCTCCCAGGCCCCGAGGAAAAGCCCAGACTCGTCGCCTTTGTGGATGTGGGCCACTCCACCGTGTCCGCATCTCTCATGGAGTTCAACGAACGCCAGGTTCGAGTCAGGGCCTCCACTTATGATGATCATGTTGGAGGTCTGCACTTTGATAATGTCATCCGAGAACACTTCCGCAACGAATTTATCCAAAAGGTAGGCTCTTTGGGACGTTTATGTGGAGTTGGGCGACTGGAGAAAGAGACGATTGGGGATAGACATGGCTCGTCGGCCGGCCCGGGCCGAAAATCTCGGCCCGGCCTGAAGGGTTCCGGCCGGCCCGGCACGTCAAGAAAAAATAAAAGAAAAACGGGCGCCCAATGAAAAAGCCTAGAATTTCTTTTGGCATTCTGCCCTGTGCAAATCCGTTTTTGTCCAAATGGTTTGCAATATTTTGACATAAAGATTAATAGTAAATCACAAGATATTGATATCAATAGAAAGCTCGAGGGCTGCTTAAGCTAATAGAACCAAAATATACCCATAATCGTAGTATTTTGACAGTTTTCCATGGCGAAGAATACAACGTCTAAATAAAAGTTTGTATCGACGATACCGAGTCAGAGAGCACTGGAAGGAGGTATAGGCTCCACGTCAAAAAAATCCTTAAACTGTTCTTCGAGTATCTACACCGGTCCCGTCCCGCTTGATGGGACAGTTTTTTTGATAGTTGGCCTTGAAATTTGCACTATTTTTAGCCTAGCTCGAACCATGTTCAGAAAATGCGTCACGATGACACCCATTTAGAATGTACCAGCGGTATAAAAAACAGTTGTGTACGACTAGTAGTACTCCCTAGAGTTCCCATAAAAAAAATTAGGTTAAAAATTGTTGTTATGTGCAATTTGGATGACAGGTTTTATGAATTTTTTTTCGCTGTGAGAACCTTTGCAATGCCCGCAATTTCTTGACGTGCCCGGCCCGTTTCAAATTTTCCGTCGGCCCGGCCCGTTCTAAATTTGCTTCGGCCCGGGCCGGCCCATTGAAACGAAAGTCTCCCCAAGTCTAACTCCTTATGACCAAATTTCTTCTATCATCATGTAAATGGAAAAATACTGTGTTCCATAGCTATCTAAAAACAAAAGTACCTTTAAAAAAACCAATTGTGTCTTGACATTACGTTTATTTTCATTATCAAACCCAATTTTCGCTTCGAGATTCTGGATTTTAAATATTCCGGGCCGGGCCGAAACGCCGGCCCGGAAATGGTCCTCGGCCCGAAACGCCGGCCCGGAAATGGTCCTCGGCCCGAAACGACGGGCCGGAAATGGTCCGGCCGGCCCGGCCCGGGAGCCATGTCTACTCGGAGCTTCTGTACTCTTTTTTCTTTTTTGATTTCTCCGCGGAGACTCCGCCGATTTCCATGAAATTCAGGTTTTTCTAGAGCTGAGATTCGCCATTTTCAATTGATTGAATTTCAGGGAAAAATATTCTGAATTGACTTTGCTACGCCTCCCCGAAGTTTTTGAAAATTATTTTCGAACCGAAACCGCAAAAAACGGTCAATTCAGAATATCTTTTCCTGATATTCAATCGGTTGAAAATGGCGACTCTCAGCTACAGAAAAATCTGAATTTCATGAAAATCGGCGGAGTCTCCGCGGAGAAATCTAAAAAAGAGGACGGAAGCTTCGAGTGGCCCACCCTGTAAGGTTTTTCTTCGATGCAAGTGTCGAAATTGGGATAATCGAGGATTCTGATATCGAAAATGGCATTCATTTTGTTTTGATCTGTACTTTTTTCCTTGCTTAGGTAGTACTGTAAAGTAGTAGTTTTTTTGATTTTTTTTCATAAATACTCGATTTGGGGGGTTTCGATGGTGCTGATTTTGAAAATCTTATTCATTTTTTTCTGATTTGAATGCAGCACCATCGAAAAGGGACCCCAAATCGAGTATTTATGAAAAAAGCCAAAAAATTACTACTTTACAGTACTATCAAAGTAAGGAAAAAGTAAAGATTTAAAAAAATGAATGTCATTTTCAAAATCAGCACCCTCGATTATCCTAATTTCGACACTTGCATGGAAGAAAAATAGTACTTTTCGGTTTCCCCAATCGTCTTTTCCTTGTCCCAGTTCCGTTTATGGGCTGTACTAAAGATTTGAGATGAGAGTTTCGAGATTTGATAGTAAATTTTATATTGTTTTAGTACAAGATCGACGCCAAAACTAACCCTCGCGCCTGGCAGCGTCTGTTGGACGAAGCCGAGAAAGTTAAAAAGCAAATGTCGGCCAATAGCACTGCCATCCCGCTGAACATTGAGTGCTTCATGAATGATGTGGATGTGAGCGCGAAATTGTCGAGGTAAGTTGGGGTCTAGTGCAATATAAAAAGTTAATTTTTGGATGTTTTTATAGATAAAATCGGTTTTTAAGAAGAATTAGAGGTAATTTGAAGGGGTTTACGTTTGGTTTTAGGGAAATTTAGGCTAAAATTATGTCTGATTTTACCATGGATAATATAATTTTTTTCCTTATTTTTCAATTTTTAGAGCCGAATTCGAACAACTGGCCGATCCGTTGTTCCAAAGAATCCGAAATCTCCTCAGTGCTCTGCTCCAGGACTCCGGCATCCAGAATCTTCAGGACATTGCCGAGGTCGAGCTGATTGGAGGCTCTTCCCGCATCCCGTTCGTGAAGCAAATCGTCGCCCACGCCTTCAACCGCGAGCCCAAAACCACGCTGAATGCGGACGACGTGGTGGCCAGAGGCGCCGCAATGCAATGCGCCATCCTGTCGCCGACGGTGAAGGTCACCGACTTCCACGTGATCGACAGCGTCAATTACAACATCACGATCGATTATCTGAACAAGGAGAACCAACAGGTCACCCAGCAGATCTTCAAACGCAATGACGACTTCCCCAGCTTCAAGTCCCTCCCCCTGCACAAGGTGGAGCCCTTCACAATCGCGGCCCAATACGAAAATCCGCAGGAAATCCCGTACAGCGAGCCCAAAATCGGGACCTGGCTCGTGAACGGCGTCACCAAACCGGCGGACGCGGACTACAGAGTGGTCAAAGTGAAGCTTGGAGTGTCTTTGAATGGAATTTTCACCGTCCAAAAGGCCATGTACGAGGAGAAAATCGAGGAAGAAGTGGAAGAGCCCATGGACGCCCAACCACCTCAAGAAACGAAGGAAGAAGAGAAGAAGGAGCAACCAGAAGAGCCCAAACCCAAACAAAAACGCATCAGAAAGGTGGTCCATGAGCTGCCGGTGGAGAAGATTGCGGGCCGAAATGTGGATCTCACCCAGTACATTGAGTTCGAAAAACGAATGCAACAGAATGATCTCAATGAAAAGTTGAAGGCCGATGCGAAGAATGCGGTCGAGGAGTATGTGTACTCGATGAGGGACAAGCTCTGCGAACAGTTGGCCGAGTTTGTAACGGAAGAGGTGGGTTTTTGTTTTTTTGGGAAATTGGGGATCTGGGATATTGTAGTAGGGAAAAGTTGGAAATTTTGGGGAAGTTTGGAGATGGAAAAGTCAGAGGTGTTAGTAGAAGGATGGAGAGGGAATTTGGAGGGGTTTGGGAGGATTTGGGATATTGTAGTAGGCAAAAAGTGATGATTTTTTATATTGTAGTAGATAAAAGTTTGAATTTTTGAGATGGATTGGAGATGAGAGGGGTGGTAGGGGTGTTAGTAAAGTGGTGAGAAGGTTTAGAAAAGATTTTAGTAGATTTGAAGAATATTTTTATATTGTAGTAGGCAACAAAATTTTTTGAAAAAGTGATGATTTTTGGGAAATTTTTTGGTTCAAGTGGGAGATTATGGATCAGGAATGATTTAGGAATTACAAGAAAGCCAAAGTAGCCTTGATTTTAGTGATTTTTGAGAAGTCGGATATTGTAGTAGGTAAAAAAAAAGATAGTGAAAGTGCTCAATTTTGGGGAATTGGAAGAGTTTGTTTAGGTTATGTAGAGAGATTATAGTGTTATTAAGAGATTTTTGGGGGTATCACTTGTTATTTTTTATTGTAATTACCGTGTATTTTTAGGAATCCGAACGATTCCGCGGCCTCCTCACCGAAACCGAAGACTGGCTGTACGGAGACGGCGAAGAAGCGGAGCGCGATCTGTACGAAAAGAAGCTGGCCGAGATCCGCGAAGTCATCGAACCCCCAATCTCGAAACGCCAACGGGAAAAACAGGATCAAGAGGAAATCGAAAGAAATCTCCGCGAAGCCGAGAAGGAATTCCAGGCCGAAAAACTGAACGAACCCCGCGTGGAGGAACCCATGGACACGAAATAAATCCAACGTACCGCTAATTTATCCTGTGAGCTTTTCCTCCTGATCGTTTCTGGTTGTTTTCAAGGACGGATCGAGCATCTCCATCTACCTTATACCTATGTCCTACTTGTTTTCTTTTTAAAATAAACGATAATGATTCGGTGAAATTGGACTTGAAATGGATTGTGTTTGCGAGAATAGAGAGTGTGGAAGGTTTTAAAACAAAAAATGAGGCATTTGGAGGTATTTGGCAGGGAGAAATAGTAAAAATAAAAATTGGAATTGCTGATAACAAGGATAATACAGGGTGTCCAGAGAAATGTGCCGGAAAGTTTTTGTCGATTTCTTGGCGCTCAATAAAGATATCCGAAAAATTCTTTTTGCAGGATAAAGAAGAGTTTGGGCGGTTTTTTTACCGAAAGAATCATTTTTTCCGCCAGCGCGGAAAGTAGTGTATTCGGCGGAGACTTTTGATCGCTTTTTTGGCCATCACACCAATTTTAAACGCTTTATTATGATGCTGAAACTTCCGGAACGTCTTCAAATTTTTGACGCAATAAATCACACAGACAGCGACATCGCAATGCGATCCCATATAGCGACTGCACGGTGCAGCCTGTCGCTGCAACACCGATAAAGTCCGAGTGCACCGTGCGGAGATTTGAAACAGCAAGGCAAAAGGAAATTTGAACAAAATATATTTTGTTGTTTTCTGGTGCACCAAGTGGTTTTGCGATGGCTTAGCTTCTGCCAAAGCTTGGTGACAAAATTTTCGAAGGCATACGAAGCCAGCAGGGTGTTCCAGCCAGGCCATAAAAATTGTGGTGGACCATGTCTTGTCCGCAACTGAGTTATGGTCTGCGCCAATTGGGCGAGCGTCCGCCATACCTTCGCCGAACACTTGGTAAACATGAAAATATGCAAATATCTTTGTTTCAACCATCAAACTTCATAATAAAGCGTTTAAAGTTGATGTGATGATCAAAAAAGCGATCAAAAGTCTCCGCCGAATACACTGCCTTCCGCGCTGGCGGAGAAAATGATTCTTTTGCACAAAAAACCGCCCATATTCTTCTTTATCCTGCAAAAAGAATCTTTCGGATATCTTGATTGAGCGCCAAGAAATCGACAAAAACTTTCCGGCACATTTCTCTGGACACCCTGTATAGAAATTCATAGGAAATGGCCTTACATGAAGCCCAGTACTTCTCAAAAGTGTGCTTTAGAACTTGGTAATTGTGCGTAGAGTAATCGCATTATTTGGTGCTCTTTCCGATGGTGTAACGCTTGTCGATTCGCTCCAACATCTCCGGTTATCAGATTTGTTAGGCCTCGCTTGGAGTGAAATATTCAAACCGTAAAGGATAATGTTTCTACATAAAAACAATTTTTTTCCGCACGAAGCTGCTTAAGTTATGGACAAAAAGCGTTTGTCTCTCTGACCGCTCTCCGCGTTAAGCGTACTCTCTAGGCGGCAAAGGTTGTTGAATATCTTGGGGGCGCTTGCAAAGCGCGAGCTAAAACTTTCAGGAATTGATATCTAGTCCATACCCGACGTGTGTGCAAAATTTAAAGAAAATCTGAGCGTCGCACTTGGGGTACTTCGCTTGTAAACTAAAAAAGTTATAGCCAATTCAAATCCGGCCGAAAAATTGCCGCACCCTGTAAAAAAACCCTTTTCAAACTTCAGCGGGCCACATTATTCGTCGCCACCGCCATCCTCGCCGCCATTGTGACTACCATTTTCAATTTCACGGCACCAATAACAGAATTACTGTATTCAAAAAAAACTTTTTTAATCTAATTTTATTATTTACATATACGTTAGTTTTCAGCTTGAATCTCCATAAAAATCATCCGAGTTGAGTCGATGAAAGGATTCAAAGGGTAGATTGCACGTGGGGACCACTGGGGCATCTCCATCGAGGAAAAGTAGAGAAAAAAAAAAATATTTCGTCGTGAGATCTCTAAATAAGGCAATTATAATAATCATGAACCTGTTAGAAGAAAAGTAATCAAAATAGAGCAAAAAACTTGATAAGGGTTTGCGAAATAAGCTTCCAAATCGTGTATTTTACTCTAAACAAAGCTTTCAACAAGGTTCTAGAAGACCAAGTGCCCCCGGATTATAGACTTTCCCAGAGATACAGGGTGGGCCACTCGAAACGGGTAAGTTTTGTCCTTGGATTTCTCCGCGGAGACTCCGCCGATTTTCCCGAAATTTAGATTTTTCTGTAGCTGAGACCCGCCATTTTTAACCGGTTGAATTTGAAAAAAATATATTTTGAATTGACCTTTCTGTGCCTTCCCAAAGTTTTGAAGAATTATTTTCGAGCCGAAACCGCTAAAACTTTGAAAATTTTTGGAATGATTTTCAATTGACTTTCCCGGACTTGGAAAATTTTTGGCTTTTTTTGGGGGAAATCGCGGAGTAAAAAGTTGCTAGTGCTCGCCTTAAACTTGTTTAAAGCAAGTTGAAAGCCACAAGAGGGTTGTTTGTATTACCATTAGGGCACAAACATTAAAAAAAAAAAAAAAATTCAAAAAGATTGCAAAAGTCCACACAATTGGCAACGAGCCGCAGCTCCAAGTCATTGAAGCTTGAAGCCCAGCCCGATTAAAGATAGACGATGTTCACGATCTGCAATTCGAGCTGTTCACGACTCTCATGACTCTCAAAGCTCCTACAAGTTTGTGCTGCGAGAGGAAATGGGCATTTCGAACTCAGATAGAAATATTAATAATCAGGTCGTTAAATAAAATTGTTTTTACGACTATATTTTATGGTTATCTGAGGAAAAACTTAGAAAATTTCACCCAAAAACTCGAAAAAATGACCAAGTTTTCGAAATCATTCCAAAAATTTTCCAAGTTTTAGCGGTTTCGGCCCGAAAATAATTCTTCGAAACTTTGGGAAGGCACAGAAAGGTCAATTCAAAATATATTTTTTTCAAATTCAACCGGTTAAAAATGGCGGGTCTCAGCTACAGAAAAATCTAAATTTCGGGAAAATCGGCGGAGTCTCCGCGGAGAAATCCAAGGAAAAAACATACCCGTTTCGAGTGGCCCACCCTGTACACTCCGACTACAGTAAATCTTCGAAATAATCCAAATTTATAAGAAAAATGCTCAAGAAATCCCATCAAAAATCCGTGCCCTCAATTCAGTCATAACCTGCTAAGATACGACCTAAAATAAGTCTACCTCTCAGTTTCAATTTATCAACGACCATTCAGTTTCAGCGCACCGTCGATCCGCTAATCTTCCCATCATTAAAATCGTCGGCTGGGATCGAATATCGCCGATTGTAGCTCCTCTCAAAAAGAGACCTCAGCCACCACACACCTCTCATGACATTCACGGGAACGGGGGACTCCGATGATTACCTAAATTCCGAACAATCCAAAAACAAAACGCAACTTACTTTTTCCATTTTGCCCATCATCTAGAACTCATTCTGCGGCAATTCGAATCAAATATAGTCTCCAATGTTCAAAGCCTGAGGGTTTCAGCCATTCTTCCCAGGCGTAAAGGTCTTTGGAGAACTGCGAGTATCAGATAACTCTGAATCATCTAAAATTCCATATAAATTAAAAACTGCATCAAAACCTAAAGAAATCGGAAAAAATTGTCAAAAACTCACCGAAAAGATGTCATAAAATCCATGACTCTTGTCCATACCCATCCTGATGCATTCAAAATTCCACTAAAACGTCCGAAATCCCTCCACGTTGCAAAAAACGTTCCAACCAATTGAAAAAATTTGAATGAAATTCTGAAAAAAACGTCAAATTTTCCCACGAATTTTCACAAAAACCTCAAAATTTGCATATTAAAATTCGGCAAATTTTCGTTTGCATTTTTCTCATTCACCGGTTGAGAAAATCCTGGTATCCGCCACCCCTCATCTATTTGCAAAGATGTCATCACCCGCCAAGAGCGACGCCGTCACGAACACGACGAAGACCCCTTCTGCTTCCACCGCCGCCGTCCCGGTGGTTGCAGTTGGGGTGGCCTCCGCCACCGCCGCCGTCCCGGTGGTCGGGGAAGGGCCGACGGGTGAGTTCAGTGGGGGTTTTTGGGGATTTTTTGGGGTTTTCGGGATTTTTTTGGGTTTTTTTAAAATTTTAAGATTTAACAGTGGAAGTACTCCAAGTGCGACGCTCAGATTTTCTTTAAATTTTGCACACACGTCGGCTATGGACTAAACGTCAATTCCTGAAAGTTTTAGCTCGCGCTTTGCGGGCGCCGCCGAGATATCGAACGATTTTTTGCTGCCGAGAGAGCACGCTAAACGTGGAGAGCGGTCAGAGAGAAAAACGCTTTTTTGCCATAACTTTGGCAGTTTCGTGCGGAAAAATTTGATTTTTTGTAGAAACATTATCCTTTACAGTAGAAGTAGGCATGAAAATTTTCGTGCCGAAATTCGGCAAAAAATCTTAAATTTTCGCCGACTTTCGAGCTAAAAATCTCGGTTGTTTCTGCAAAGCGCGAGCTAGGATTCTCGCATATATCTTAGAAAACATTATTCTAAATTTGTGCCAATTTTCATCAAAATCTGAGCGTCGCATTTGGAGTACTTCCCTGTAAGATGACTTACATAAGCTTAGGGCCAGAAATATAAAAAAATATATATCAATCTCGCTGACTTGTCTAGTACAAGATAATTCTGCAGTAAAAAACTCAAAAAAGAGAGCTCAAAAAATTTAAAAAAACTCAAAAAAGAGAGCAAAAAAATTCTCTCCAAGGTCCAAAAATGATGATCTGGATCGGTGGCCAGCACTTCAGTCCAGATCCAAGGCGACATTCGGAAGGCAAAGATCTGGAAAAATCCGTCAATTTTACATAATAGTCCATTTTTTGTGAAAATTGTCAAAAATCATCTCTTTTTAGAAGCCCCATTTTGTTTTCCAAATAACTCCAAAAATTTACCTTTCCCCAAAGATATTTGACGGATTTTCTAGAAATTTGTCACCCGAATGTCAGAATTGATGTCCAACGTTCAAAATTATGGCTTCAAACATCTTCATGCACCTCCAGAATCCCTCCAAGAGCCTAATCCCGGTCGAAGATGGATCATTTTTTTGATTGTGGCAGGTCCAGCGACTGATGGCATCACCTAAAATATTATTTATAATATAATTTACTGTATTCGTTATAAATTATTATCATACATCGTAACTTGGATTATTTTTGGAGACAAAAATCCCAAATAAAGAGTAAACTATTCATTTTCACGGCCAAAAATAGCCTTACTTTGTGTTTTCTCCAATTGCCATCGAACACCGTCTCCAATCTGATTCGTGGACCAGGTAACAATTTTATTTTTGCTTTCTTCGCCTTTTCAGTTTCGTCAAGGTATTCCAAGATAATTCAAAACTCGATGGGTCCGTCCCTGTCAAGAGTCCATTTCCAATTCCGTTGGCGCCCTGAAACTTGAACCATTACAATTGGATATTCGAATTCTTTCATAAATTCTAATTGTATAAATCATAACAATAAATACTTACACCATTTTATACTCTCTCTTGTTACTTATAACGGGGTTTTCACTGTGAGACACCACCTGATAACACGATGAACTTCCTGGACCTTCTACTTTGGATCAATTCAATCACTGGGCTGAATGGTGAAGAACAACATCTACTGGACCATGTCGACGATCATCACTTAGGTTTAGGGTCGCATTAGACTATTTCCAAGGGGTGGGGAGCTCGTCTCGTCCATGGATGGACGTTATTGTGGTTGTTCTTGGCACCTGTCCTCGTTTTTCTTGTCAGAACCTTGTTGAAAGACCTCTTGATGTGCTCTGTGATTTTCTCCGGGTGGACTTGACTTCTCGTCGTTCAGGCTCGTCGAATTTTCGGTTGCGTGTCGCGTGGACCTTTTCAGAGAATTCCAATCAATCAACAAATACATCTTCAGGATAACAAAAAGGGACGCCAAGGCACCTACTTTCGCCATGATCACTTCGAATCAGCTCCATCTTCAGTTCAACCACCAGTGTATTAATTCTACCATCCATTAATTCCATCTCATCAACATCTTCACCATCAAATTCGTTTTTACATCCGACCCCGTCTCCAATTGGAATTTTCAATGTTCGCCACAAATTTTGGATTAGCAACCTTTAGCAATGATTTGTTTGGCCTGGAGATTATTCGTGACATCAATATCGCCTTGGAAATGACTGAAGAACCAATGAATATCTGAAATGAAGCATTTAGAAGACCGATACAAGGAGAAAACAGAAATTACAGAAATTTTAGACGTTTTCGCCCCCATTTGACCCCTGGACTCACCTTATTTTAGCTGAAGTTGAACATCAGCATACCAATCTGACCATTTTCATCTCCATGAATCCAATCCAGCACCCGTTTTCCATGATTTTCACGTCGAAATGGCCCCAAATCACCCAGAACTTGTCCACCTGCACCTGATCTTCACCAATCGAGAACCAATCATTATCTTGATTCGGACCACCACCTTTAATTTGGTTCCATCTCATCTTCTGGAGTCCTTTTGAAGGTTCTCCTTGTTCCACGTTGTCGTTTGATCCGATCTTCGGGTCATTCAGTGTTCTACGGCTTTCGAGCCGCTGTGCTCTCGTTTTCCTGATCACCACTTAAATACGCCTTCCGGTCGCCATCAACGAAAAAAATCAGCTCGGGTTTCTTGTCGGTATTATGGTTTTGTCACTGGACTCCAATGTGGATCGATTTCCGACATCTGTGGAATTTTTCTGGAGAAATCGCGAATTGTTCACAGGATCTTGATTCAAATATGGAGCCTTCGATCATCGTGGATTTTACCTTCAAGATTGTGGATCGTCATCATCCGGATCTCCGCCTAAAACCAAGAAGGATTACTTTAGAAAAAGGATAAAATTTTTGTGGGGAAAATTAAGATAATATTAGAAATGACCTTAGTTAATAGGGACCTTAGGAATAGTTTTTTTTTTTTTTTTTTTTTAAATTTTGGGCCATACTTTTTCAATTTTTCGACTAATTTTGGTGATTTCAGTGCCTCCCAGCACCGCCGGCCAGGCCTCTGGCCAAAACGTGGCCCGCACCGTTCAGGCCGAGCATCCGCCGGCGGTTGCGGGCTCCCCTCTGGGTGCCCATCGCTTCGGCGTCCCAGGGGGTGAGGGAGGACTTAGCGTTGCTAGTCCGACCTCAGGCTCGCTGTTTTCGCGCTCGTCCGAAAACAGCGCCGGGACTTCCACGCTCCATGGAGTCCCGTCAATCGCCTCTTATGAGGAGTTTGAAGCCTACAAGGCGATGATGGCACAGAAGACGCCGGAGCCAGGGGATGAAGAGAAGACGAAGCTGAGGGCGAAGATGGAAGAGCTGATCGAAGAGAATCGACAGCTTCTAAGGAAGACCGATGATATGAGGAAGGCGAAGCAGGCCACAGAAGCCTTGTGGCTCTCAGAAATGGAAAGGGCCAACAAGGCCGAAGCCGACCTGGAGGCCGCTCAGAAGGCCATTTTCGAAATGAAAACAAAAGAATACCGAGCTGGAAGAAAGCTCGAAGAGGCCATAAGAGCCAAAGATGAGGCTCTAATCGAATTGGAGAGGGAAAAGGAAGAAACATCCCGTCTCAAGCAGCGACTCACCGACCACTTGAAGAAAGCCGAAGCCGATGCCAGACCTCCACGAACTCACCGTTCAAGAAGTCCGTTGACACGAACGGCGCCTTCGTCTTCGCCGACGCCTGACGTCGAGCCTCCCGCAGAAGTCGTCTCGCCCCCAGTCGAGGATCAGGTCTCGGAAGGCCATGAAGAACCAGGACCACAACATGAGGCCCCGGGACCCCTGCGAAGGATGCCCAAATGCAGGAGGCGGTGCTGTTACCAGCCGCCGCCTCCTGCACCTCAAGCTGTTCTTCGGCCTCCCCGAAGATCCAGGGAGGTCGAACAACTCGGCCCGATCATCGAGGAAGTCGTTGAAGAACGTCCGAGGAGGAGAAGCCGTCAGCCTCCAGCCCGGCTCGTCGTCGACATGGCACGCCGAAGCTATGCGGCGATAAGGAGCTCAATAATGCCTCGTAAGTTTATTGGCTCTTGTTTTTTTCTTGTTAGGCCAAAACCCTAGAAATAAACATGAGGTGTTTTTTGAAGAAAAAAGATCCATATATAATTCTCAATAATATCTGTTTTTTTCAGGCAGAAGAGCTCAAGTCCGGACGGATGATGCTCCGTGGTTCCTTGGATAAGGTGGAACCAAATAAGGTAAGTTGTTTTGGGAACTGTTTGGCCTTGATTTAGGCTAAAGTAATATACTTCACTATCTTCAGACGAAGGCCGGTCTGGACCAGCGTGGAGAAGTGGATCCGGCACCCGTGCCCCCTGAATCAGTCCGGGGGGCCTCTGGAATAAGAAAAAAGGGTGCCCATCCACTTGTTATGGTCAAGATTGGGGATTTTGGACTATAATAAGGTAAGTTATCATGCTGAATTTATATTTATTCCTTATCTTTTTCAGAAATCCCTGAAAAAGACGAACTGAGGGAAAGGTGGAGCACCCTGGCCTCCCGAATGAGCCCGGGGGGCCATTGGACTGTGAAAAAGGGTGCCCACCTTTCTTTACGATCCCTCGTGTGGACGTTTTGGTCGACCGGAGCGCCCCGGCCCCTCACTTCATCCGGGGGGCCTCTGGAAACCTTACGGGTGCTCGGTTAGACCAAACAGGGTAAGATTTTATTGTTTTGGGAGCTTCCTGACTTTTATTTGGGCTAGAGCAATATAATCTTCCTATTTTCAGATGAAGGCCAGTCCAAACCGAAGTGGACCTGGAACCCTCGCCCCCTGAATTAGTCCGGGGGCTTTTGGACAAAAAAGGGGCGAACCAATCAACAGAAATTGAGGTAAGCAAGATACTCATGCCTAGGAATTTCGAGCGATGTTGTACTAAGCACAAGCTCTGGAAGGGGTTGGTCAGAATGGGCCGGAAGCGTGAATTTTTTTGGATTGATTTTGCTTTAGGAGTTCAGTTGCTTTGCGTGTATAGTAGTTCAGCCGAGTTTCCAGCATTTTTTTAACCAACTTGTTGGGAGCTGCACGCCGGAAACGATCTATCTATCTAACACAAGGTTACACAACCTATTAACGATTTTATGTCGCAATAGTTCCGTTTCCCAACGAGATAGCACCAAAACCAAAACGTTTTTCGATAAATTGTTACCTAAATTAATATAAAAGTATTCTGGAGGCAGAAGGACAACAATATATGAACTGCTGCCGTCGAGGATACTAAAATACGCTCAGAAAAGTGGCGTCTAACCCGAATAGATGTATTATAGACACAAATGTGATAAATATTGCCTAAATAAATCAAATCCCTTAAAAATTTAGCTAAAAAAGAGATTTTTCGGAGCGGAGTAGGGCAAAAATTTGCACTGTCCTGCAGAAAGGTCTCATAAACAAATCTGATTAAGCCTTTTTCCCCAAATTTAGACTAAAATGTCGCTTCCGGGTCGATTCTTCACCGCATGGTCGACACCTAAATTTCGAAAGAACGAAAAAACAAAAAAACACTTACGTATATCCAAGAGATACCTTTCATCGCCTAAAGCAACCTTTTCTCCAACTTCTGAAGCCATCCTCTTATTTTTACACCTTCTGCAAAAACGGAAATTTGTTTTTGGGAAAAAATATCTTTGTCAAAATCTCGAGTTGCGCCCGAGACTTTTGTAAATCTTGGTGCTATATGATACGAAAGAACTTGGAAAAGAATTTTTTAAAAGCCGGTTTAGGTTTAGATTGCATCTGGGGCAAAAATTTTAGTTTTTTGAGGTCCACACGTTTTTATTATTATTTATAAGCAAGAAACTATACAATTGTTCTAAAAATAACTTTTTATAATTTTTATTGTAAATTGCCTAATTTTTGTCCTGAGGCTCTGGCGTTTGCTGCTAATTCTCCTCGATTTTCCAACCTACAGCGCGGAAATTTTCTCAAAAACTAGTGTGACTGTTCTAAAAATGCAATAAATTCGATCCCGACATAACAGCTAACATAACATTATCTCCTCTTTTTCAGACTCTTACATCAACACGAGCTCAATTGTTCACCGGATCAATGTTTGCTAAGATCCGAGCCAATTTTGATGCCATAGTTTAAAAGAACCATTCGGACCCAAATCGAGGTAAGTATTCTTTTTTGTGCTATTTTTTAACATTTAGGTAAAAAATTTTGGGATTTGTTATATTGGACTTCAGCATTCGCTGAGTTGGGCTGGGAGTTAAAAAACCTTTATTATTTTGGTTGTTTTTTCTTTATAAAGAATTTTCGGCGGCGATGGGTTAAATTTATCCTGATTTATTGTAGCTTTCGGGTGCTGACCTGATATTATATTAGGTATGAAGTCTTCAAAAAGTCTAAAAAAGGATAATTTATATTTTATGTTTATATTTTATCTATTTTTTTCAGAATTACGCCAAAATGGTCTCGATTTTGAGCAACCTCCGGTGATCCTTTACCACTGAGGAGTTCGAACGGAAGTGAATTGATGGTCCAACCCTTGAAAATGAAGTAAGTTTATGTTTCTTTTGGTTTTTTGCTGTTTAGATCCGGATTTTGGCGGCATGCATGTGATCGCATGCACCGTGCAAGTGCAACATCGCAGCGGCGCAAACTTTTCTCGACGGAACCGGCGCGAATTTTGGGCGTACGAAATGAAATTGCACAGTGCGAAATTTTTCGAAAAGGATCAAAAAATTTCGACGAAATTGCATTGCGCGGCGCGAAAAAATAGGTTGAAAAGAGTCTACGCCCTTTCTGGAACTGCTAGTACTACACGCGCTCAAAAGTAAGCATGGCTGCAAACCGGGCCAGCCCGGGCCCGAGGTTTGCAAAATTGGAAAGCCCGGTCCGGTTCGGCCAGGAAAATTTTTATACTTGGTTGGAAGGAAAAAAAGCGGTTAATGAAATGAAAATTATGGCAAATTTTTGCAAAATGTAAAAAGAATTTAGCAAAACCTAAGCATAGTGCAATTGCCGCTGGATTATTTATATAAATTACTAATTCGCCATAAATTTTTTTACCATCTGATTACAAAAAATCATAAACTTCTGTGTATAGTCACCAAAATTTTAGCAAAAATATTTTTATCACAGATCTTTTATTGGATCTGAAAAAAGCTACGCTGCTATTGCGTATTTTTGAAAAATTTTCCGGTTTCTTTTTTTGCCATTAACTATGAGGTCGCACTTTAGAATTTCTGACAAGGAAAGTACTTCTATGGGGCGGAGTTACCGGTCGAGACATACATCAAAAAAATCGCAAATTTTTCTGATTCAGAACATGCAAAAATTAGCTGCCTAATTTTGATTTGTAAGGGTGAAAAAAATCCTCAGAACTTTTCTCGCAACACCACGCAAGTTTTTACCAAATCAAATGCTTGTTTTTGAGCTAGAGTAAATCCTGGTATCGTCACAAGCCTTAAAATATCAAATTTTATCTCAACTAACTTTTTTTTACGCGTTAATTAGTAGTTGCAATAAAATTCAAATTTTATACGCGTTAATTAGTAGTTGCAATATTAAAAGGTGGCATTTTCGTGGTGTTGCGAGAAAAGTTGATTTTTTCACCCTTACAAACCAAAATTAGGCACCTAACTCCTACATATTCTAAATCAGAAAAATTTTGCTATTTTTTTGATATATGACTCCACCTGTAACTCCATGCCCCATAGAAGTACTTTCCTCGTGAAATTTTTTTCAAATTGACTTGAAAATTATTTTTTTATTTGGGCGAGTGGTAAATTATGTCAAAAAAGCTTATTTTTGACCTTTTTCCGGGCAAAACTCAGATTTCAAAAAAAAAAACCCCCGGGCCGGGCCTAAAAATCGAAGCCCGGCGTCGGGCCGAGAAATAAGTCGGCCCGGCCCGGAGCCATGCCTACACAAAAGTCCTGACAATTTGCGCACCGTTCACCCTTCTTTCATTTTCATCAGCATTTGTTGCCGCAATTTCCCGTTTTTGCACTAGTGACCTGCATTTTTGCGCGCGACAACCTCGAATTTGCGGGCGCGACGTCCAAAACCCGAACTTTCCCACGGTGCGAAAATTGTCAGGGCTTTTGAGCGCGCGTAGTGTTTTACTGTAGCCCTTTTCGAAAATGGAGAAATCTGTTTTTCGACCTTCCCTATTTTTCCTTGTCTCTTTGGCGGACATTTTTATACGTTCCTTTTTCAGACTCTTGCGCCAACGTGAGCGCGTTTGCTCCCATTGGATCAATCCCTTCCCTAATGGACAGATCTATGCTTTCAAGCGCCAAGTGGACAAAGATTGAAAGGAAAAAGAAAAAAAAGCCAAGAAAAGGCAAAAAAAAGAATAAAAGTAAAAAAAATAAAAATAAAAAAAAATTAATATAAAAAAAAGAAAAAGGGCAAAAAAAAGAAAAAAGCAAAAAAAAAGAAAAAAAAGCCCAAAAAAAAGGAAAAAAGGCAAAAAAAGAATAAAAAGAATAAGAAAAAAAAATTAAAATAAAAAAAAAAAGAAAAAAACGTAAATTAATTAAAGCCTAAAAAATAAGAAGGCAAAAAAAATACAAGAATTTTGTATGGTCTCCGTCGCCGCTAATCATCCCAAAAAATTAGCTCCAACTTATATCACAATGGATTCTTAGTGGGACCTGATCATGTAAGTTATTTTTTCGGCTTGTATTTTACCTTGCTTTAGTTTAAAATTATGTAATTTGGATTTTATTTTCAGTATTTTTGGAAATCTTTGAGTCCCGAGACGGAACCTACGAATTTTTCCCTTTCCGACCAAGCAGCCAGAAGAACTCGAGACTTCGGATCAACATGGATTCAAGAAAGAGCATGGTCAATACGAAGCAGTGAATGTAAAATGTAAGTTTTGGTTAGATTATGGAATGTAGAGGACCTTCGACATGTTTTTATAATACAGGGTGTCCAGAGAAATTCCGCGGAAAGTTTTTGTCGATTTCTGGGCGCTAAATCAAGATATCCAAACAATTCTTTTTGCATCGTAAAGATGAAGAATTTCTTCAAACACCCTGTGTTAGCATTCGTGTTTTGACGTTTTCTTTATTTATTTTTATTTTTCAGACGTTTTCGATACCAACACCCATTATTTTGACCCCATTTGGAAGTTTCTCCACTGCCAATTGTATGAAAAAAGAAGAAAAAAGCCAAAAAAATAGAAAAAAAAATTAAAAAATATAGAAGGCTAAAAAAATGAAAATAAAAAAATGAGAATTGTTAAAAAGCCAAAAAAAAGTCTTAATTAATTTAAAAAAGAAAAAAATCTTATACTCTTATATTGAAAAAAGAAAAATAAAAAAAGAAAAAAAGAAAAAAAAAAGAAAAAAGGCTAGAAAATAAAAAAAGATAAGATAAAAGCCTAAAAAAAAAGAATGTAAAACAAAGACCCAACTCCATCTTCACCTTTCGCTCTCCACTCCCACCACCTCCTTATCAACATGGAATTCAAGGAGTCCGTGGTCAATATGAAGCAGTGAATATAAAATGTAAGTTTTGGTTAGATTGTGGAATGTAGAGGACCTTAGACATGTTTTTATAATATAATATTAGCATTACGTTTTATTTATTTGTTTTTTATTTTCAGATATTTGTTGATCACCAAGGCACATTGTTTTCAACCCATTTGGAAGTTCCTGCAAGATCCAAGGCCATTTTTATGCAAAAAGGACATGGAAAAAGAAGAAAAAAGCCAAAAAAATAGAAAAAGAAAAAAAGTAAAAGATAAAAGGCCAAAAAAATAAAAAAAAGTAAAGAAGGCTAAAAAATGAGAATAAAAAATAATGAGAATCGTGAAAAAGCCAAAAAAAAGCCTATATTTTTGTGTTGAAAAAGAAATAAAAAAAAAGAAAAGAAAAAAGGCTAGAAAATAAAAAAAAGATAAGATAAAAGCCTAAAAAATAAAAAGAGTTTAAAAAAAGCTCCAACTCTATCTTCACCGTTCTCTCTCCACTCCCACCACCTCCTTTCCTCCCTCCTCTCTCCCTTCCCCCCACCTCCCCCAATCATCAGAGGATTCTTTGATGATTAAAGTAAGCTTTTTTATCACTTTTGTAGTTTTTTTCTTCCTTTTGAGTTCAGATGCTGCTCATTCTATTTTTAATACCTTTATTTTCATGGAACCCGTCGCAAGTCTGACCTTTGGTGCCTTGGCGAAGATGGAGAAATCAATGTTATCTCATCGTCGAATGGGAGAATCAGGTCAGTTGGGAGGAATAAATGTGGGAACCGAGTTGTAGAAGGGATACTAGGAGCTGTTTAGTCGAGAAAGAGTTTGGTTTTGTGAAAGGCCCGCCATTACGACATATTTTTCTGAAATGTTGCCGTAGGGAGTACTATTTTTCCTAATTCTGTTTTTTTCGGGTTAAAAATGGATTTGACTTACAGGGGAAGTACCCCAAGTGCGACGCGTTGGGCGACGCTCCGATTTTCTTTAAATTTTGAACACACGTCGGCCATAGATTAGGCATCAATTCCTGAAAGTTTTAGCTCGCGCTTTGTGGGTGCCGCCGAGATATCGAACGATTTTTGCCACCGAGAGAGCACACTAAACGTGGAGAGCGGTCAAAGAGGAAAACACTTTTTGGCCGTAACTTCGCTAGTTTTGCGCGGAAAGAATTGATTTTTCTGTGGAAACATTACCCTCTATGGTAGAAATAGGCATGAAACTTTTCGTACCGAAATTCGGCAAAAAGTCTAAAATTTTTGCCGACTTTTGATCTGAAAATCTCGGCTGTTTTTGCCAAGCGCGATCTGGAATTCTCGCATATATTTTAGAAAAAATTGTTCTAAATTTGTGCCAAGTTTCATCAAAATCTGAGCGTCGCACGTGGGGTACTTTCCCTATGAGCTGATCCTGCTCGGCAAGTTCCCGGAATCCGGCGGCCGGGTGTTCGAGGGACGTTTGGAGGAGCACTAGTCGTTCCTGAAAGTGCGTGGACCTTTCGTCGCAAATTTTGCGCACTGTGCGTTTGGCCTTTACAACGTGCAATTCGAAAAGCTTGCGACGTAGGCTTTTTTTCAACTGCTTCGCATTTTGGGCGCGTGGCAACAATTGCACGCTGCAAAAAGAAAAAATGCCCTGTGCGCCGCGAAAAAATGTCTACGCACTTCCTGTAGCGACCCGTGGTACTACGCACGCTCAAAAGTCCTGACAGTTTTCGCACCGCTTCGGCTGAACCACCCCGTAGATTGCCAAATTCGTCGTGACGGATTTTTTAGCTCTCTGGTGTAATATTTGATCGTTTTGAGGACTTGATTATGAAAGATTTGTAGGGGCTTTATATTGTTGATGAGATAGTCAAATTCCGTTTTCAAGTTTTTCCATTTGTAAAACATTTCTTCCAGGTCGCCCGTCCAAGTTCGGATATGAATGAAGGATTGAAGAAATTTGAGTGTGGAGCGGTGGAAATCAAGAACAAAATCATCGCCGTCATCATCACCACCAGCGCCGAGGAGGCCCGAAAAGACAACAATGTGCGTTTTTTAGGTATCAAACCGAAGAAAATTCGGAAAAAAGCAAATTTTTCGACAAAATTTTGACTTGAAATTGTAAAATACGCTTTCCTCAAAGTATGTTGCATATTTTCAGTGCTCGTTTGACCTGAATTGGTGGCAGGAAACACCGGATAACCTATATGTTAGCAAAGGAAATGAGACGGACCTGGATGGAGAAATTATCCCTGCCAAATACCCATCCACATACTGCCCACACGACCTCTCGAAATGCGAGTAACGCGGAAAGAATGAGAGCTATTACATCCAAGGACAGGTAAGAGATGAATTTGATGAAAATGGGGTCTAGTGTAAGATGTTTTTTGCTTGTTTTGATGGAGATTTTGGTTTTTATAGAAAGTAGGAGGGCTGATTTGATATTCTAGAGAAAAACTTTTGGGTTTGATATTGAAAAACATGTAATTTTGATCAATTTTTGTATAGTGTAATATAATTTTTGTCAAATTTGAAGGAGATTTTGATTGTTATGGAAAGTATGATAGCTGTTTTGATAACCTAGAGAAAAAAATGTGAATTTGAGATTGGGAAAACGTGCAATTTTGAAGAGTTTTTGTCTAGGGTAATATAATTTTTGTCAAATTTGATGGAAATTTGGGTTGGAAGAGAAAGTTTGAGGGCTGATTTGATAACCGAGAGAGAAAACCGTGGGTTGGAAGTCAAAAATCTCGTATTTTTGAGCAGTTTTTATCTAGTGTAATATAAATTTTGTCAAATTTGATGTAAATTTTGTTTGAATTTGGTATAATGGTCCGTCCCGCATTCGAGCTTAGATTGGAAAATTTGTCAGTTGAAACTTGAAAAAAAAGGGAATCTTGCTATTTTTGCCTGGTGTAATATCCAAAATTTGAAGAATGCGATTATTTAAGTGTTTATTTGTATGCAGAGTGTATATTTTTGATGGAACGGTTTTTTTAAGAGATTTTTTAAATGTAGGCCAAATTTATTCGGTCGTATTTTACCCAAAAATTACCTAAAAATCGTTTCAGGTTCGAGCCATCAAGGAAGCGGGCGCCGCCGCCGCCCTTTTCATCCTCGAGCTAGAGGCCTCGAGAAAGGGACTCCGAGCGATTTCCACGACAAAAACTCCTGCTTGCACTGGCGGTGGGCTGCATTTTGTTGGGATGCGTTTGGTAGGTCGAGAAGGGCAAAGTAATGTAAATTTTGGGAAAGTTTTGGGGTAATGATGAGTTGTGAGGATTAGAATAGATGTATTAAGAATTTTTGGGAGTGATGAGATGTATTTTGCAAGGTTTTGAGGGTATAATTCTCGGAATTTTGATTTTTTTAGGCTAGAAGGTCATGGATAATATAAATTCTGATGATTTTGATGAGATTTTGAATTATTTTTTTGGAGATGATGGTTCAGGAAGACAGAGAATGCTTTTTTGCAAGATATTAGGTAATAAAATTCATGAAATTTTGCTCTTTTTTGACTTACATCCAGGTCATGGATAATATAAATTTTGATGATTTTGATGTATTTTTTGGAGATGATGGTTCAGGAAGACAGAGAATACTTTTTTGCAAACTATTAGGTAATAAAATTCATGAAATTTTGCTCTTTTTTGACTTACATCCAGGTCATGGATAATATAAATTTTGATGATTTTTTAATTATTTTTTTTCGAGATTATTGTTCAGAAAGGCAGAGAATACTTTTTACAAAGTTTTTTACAAGAAGGTGAATAATCAAATTTATGAAAATTTGCTTTTTTTGACCTATACCGGTCAAGTGTAGTCTAAATTTTGATGAAATTTGAGGGTTTTTATCAAGGCTGATGATTGGAATAGAAGTTTTAGTACAATGGTCGTATGCTTTAACGTATTTTACAAAATTGAGTGGAAAAATTTGGCGACAAAATGTGTTTTTTATCTTAAGGTCATGGATAATATAAATTTAAAAAAAATCCTTATTTTTTCAATTTTTTTTGGTGGAAAGTTTGCCATGGTAGAGTCAGAAATGATGTCTGTGGTACAATCGAAGTTCTTCTAATCTCCATTTTCTTACAGATTCCGTCAAGTCCCATTAATCCTGTCCAGGCAACTTTCCAGCCAAGAAGAAGAAGAATCTACGATTTTAATTTGATCTATTTGTTTATTTTTTATTTTATCTTGCTTGCTTTGAAAGGGGAAGGGGAAATGGGAGAAAGGGGCGGAGAAGGTAAGCAATCGTAATTGGGCTGATGCTGTAGTTAGGCAGCCTAGGACGAAATTTTTATTACTGGGCCGGTAGAGAGCGTATATCTTAGAGATTGATGGTTTATATATAGTCTGGAAGTGAGAGCGCCACGGCGTTTCGGACAGGGACAACTCGGGTCACGACAGGTCGGGTCGACGATAACTTTTAATATTTTTGCTTCGGAACTTGGGAAAAAGGATTTTTTGGAGAATTGGAACAAAATTTTGAATTGTTTTCGGTTCGGCACTGGGGAGAAGGATTTTCTGGAGAATTGAGGTTTATCTTCGAATTTTTTTAGGAAAATAGTGTCTATAAGCAACGAGCAAATCAGAAAATGGTATCCATTGTTTATGTTTTTAACTGGAAGCACGGGATTTAATCCCGAAGCGAAAACAGTTCAAAATTTTGTTCCAATTCTCCAAAAAATCCTTTTTTCTAACAGGGGAAGTAGTCTAAGTGCGACGCTCAGATTTCGTTTAAAATTTACACACACGTCGGGTATGTACTAAATATCAATTCCTGAAAGTTTTAGCTCGCACTTTTCGGGCGTCGCCGAGATATCGAACGATTTTTACCGCCGAGAGAGCACGCTAAACTTGGAGAACGGTCTGAGAGAAAACCGCTTTTTGGCCATAACTTTGGCAGTTTCATGCGGAAAAATTTGATTTTTTGTAGAAACATTACCCTCTATGGTAGAAATATGCATAAAACTTTTCGTGGCGAAATTCGGCAAAAAGCCCGAAATTTTGGCCGACTTTCGATCTAAAAATCTCGGTGTTTCTGCAAAGCGCGAATACGTCCCCTGTAAGTCCCGAAGCAAAAATATTAAACAGTATCGTTGACCCGACCTTCGCGACTCGATCTGTCCCTCACCCGAAATGTTAGGACGCGGGAGTGAGGGGTACCTAGAATTCTTTTACATAGTTTTTGGCTCTGAAAGGCGTTGAATTATGGCTCGACCGAATTACTTATCTCCTCTGGGACATTAGGCGTTTCCGACCTAGGAGACTGGCATCGTGGAAGGGTAGGATGCATACGTAGGAGGGGGAATAGGGCCTGGAAGAACAGTTGGGTTAGTGAGGGTTGTTTATCCTTCCATTGTTCGGCCGTAAAAGCGCCATTTTTATCGGTATTGTATTGTTTGAAATGTGTTTTGATTTCCCGAAAATGGGAAATCAGTCAGGGGAAGTACCCCCAAGTGTCACACTCAGATTTGTTTTAAATTTTGCACACACGTCGGCTATAGATTAGATATCAATTCCTGAAAGTCTTAGCTCACGCTTTGCGAGCGGCACCGAGATATTGAACGATTTTTGCCAGCGAGAGAGCACACAAAACGTGGAGAGCGGTCAAAGAGAAAAACACTTTTTGGCCATAACTTCGCTAGTTTCGCGCGGAAAAAATTGATTTTTTTGTGGAAAAATTACCCTCTATGGTAGAAATCGGCATGAAACTTTTCGTGCCGAAGTTCGGCAAAAATTGTTAAACTTTCGCCGATTTTCGATCTAAAAATCTCGGCTGTTTTTGCCAAGCGCGATCTGGAATTCTCGCATATATTTTAGAAAAAAAATATTTTAAATTTATGCCAAGTTTCATCAAAATCTGAGCGTCGCACGTGGGGTACTTTCCCTATGAGCTGATCCTGCTCGGCAAGTTCCCGGAATCCGGCGGCCGGGTGTTCGGGGGACGTTTGGAGGAGTACTAATCGTTCCAGAAAGTGCGTGGACCTTTCGTCGCAAATTTTCCGCACTGTGCGTTTGACCTTTTAAGGTGGGGTGCGTGGCAACAATCGCACGGTGCAAAAAAGAAAGAAAAATGCACCTTGCGCCGCGAAAAAAACGTCTACGCACTTCCCGGAACGTCTAGTGGTACTATTAGCATTTTCACAAAGTGCCAGGACAATTGTCGCGGCGCGCACTGTGCGCAAAAGACCCCAATTTTTTGCACCGTGCATTGACCTGTTTTTTGGTTTTGCACTGTGCATTTGAAACGACATAACCTTTTCTAAACTGCGCCGCCGCGATTTGGCTCAAAAATGTGCACAGTGCAATCGGCTTTTTGGGGGTTTGCACGGTGCGCAAAGGCAAAGATCCACAGTGCGTCGGCGACAGAAATTCAAGATGCACTGTGCGAAAGCGAAATGATGTCCAGGCACTTCGTTGAAAATGCGAATACGCGCGCTCAAAAGTCCTGACAATTTTCGCACCGTGCGAAACTTGGATGTCGAAGGTTGATTCAAGGGGCCTGGAGCTTCTGATCTGCCCGATCTCTGGATGCTAGGATTCGACCAAAGCAATTCTCTTGGTAATTCATCAACATCCGAACTCATCCAGACCCCCAACTCCTTCTTCAATCGTGCTTTGATAGGCCTGTTTTTTCTTCTGCGGCTCCGGGTTGTTCTCCTCATCGACGCCAATAAATTTACCTGTCATTTTCGACATGGGGGGGGGACCCTTGGATTAACAGGGGAAATACCCCAAGTGCGACGCTCAGATTTCGATGAAACTAGGCACAAATTTAGATTTATTTTTTCTAAAGTATATGCGAGAATCTTTGCGGAAACAACCGAGATTTTTAGATAGAAAGTCGGCGAAAATTTAAGACTTTTTGCCGAATTTCGGCACGAAAAGTTTCATGCCTATTTTGACCGTAAAGGGTAATGTTTCTACAAAACATCAATTATTTCCGCGCGAAACTAGCAAAATTGTCGCCAAAAAGCGTTTTTCTCTCTGACCGCTCTCCGCTTTTAGCGAACTCTCTCGGCGGCAAAGATGGGTCAATATCTCGGCGGCGCCCGCAAAGCGCGAGCTAAAACTTTCGGGAATTGATACTTTGTTCATGATCGCGCGTGTGCAAAATTTAAAGAAAATCTGAGCGTCTCACTTGGGGTACTTCCCTTGTTTCCCTTGTAAGATTCCTGAGGGACCGGCATTGTTCTTTAGGTGTAATTCAAATTATTATGCGTAAGAAGTCAAAAAGTAACTAGAAATCAACCTCTAAAGTTCTGAAAAACATAATCAATAAGTCCCTTGCCAGTTGACATCTTTTGCAGACTCCCACCGAATCCATTCCGCTTGAAACAACGGCCGCGGTGAAGAAAACCTGCGATAAAATCCTCTGTTCGGCCGAAGGAAAGGCCAGAGTGATGAAAAAAGCACCCATCGAGTACTGATGCAAGAATAATCACTCGGCCGTTGTCACCAAAATATGGAATATTATCACTGAATGGTCCTACAATAAACTTGACAACGATCGAGATAACGAAGGGAATAGCGGCCGAAAATCCCGTATTCTGAATGTGCAGGGGCCTGTTTCACTAACATAAAAATAAATAAATGAGAAGTAGGGGGGAGCGAGAGAGCATCGAAAACGCGTTTGCGAGCGAGAGAAACCGGACGAAAAGCAGAAGTAGCCTACTTTTGCGGGAGTGACTTTTTACGTCCAAAACCGCGGTTCGCGGCAGTATTTTGGCTATAACTTTTTTCTCAGTTGATCTAGGAACACCCTTCAAAATTTAGAATGAAGCTGACAGTTTCAGCCATAATAAGACCTACAATCGGCCCTCTAAAAAAGCCACATGGAAAAAAAGATGGGCTATCGACTGGTATAAATTAAAGCGTCTAAATTTTGAAATTGACCGAGAAATAAAACGTTTCGTATTTTCAGTGTAAATGTACTCTGTACTTTAAGCTATATAACTAATCTACTCTTGAAAATAAAGCAACGAAATTTGGATATGTTGTAGCCTCAACCGTCAGCTTTATTTGGTTTTTTGAAGGGTGTTCCTAGATCAACTGAGAAAAAAGTTATAGCCAAAATACTGCCGCGAACCGCGGTTTTGGACGTAAAAAGTCACTCCCGCAAAAGTAGGCTACTTCTGCTTTTCGTCCGGTTTCTCTCGCTCGCAAACGCGTTTTCGATGCTCTCTCGCTCCCCCCTACTTCTCATTTATTTATTTTTATGTTAGTGAAACAGGCCCCAGACCTTGAAACTGACGCACAACGAACAGAAAAAAATTTTTAACTTGAACTGGGGAATCTGATCAGGGAGTTTTGTAAAGATTTAATCAAAGATCAAAAATACCAAATCTTATCAAAGTCGGTCTACGAAAAAAGTAGTGGCGATGTTACAATTGAAGGTCAAGACCTACAAATAAACCGTTGTGCGTCCTAGTAACTTTGCTGATCGTTTATTTGTACCGATTTGGTCATAAAATTGCTTTTCCTACGATTACACATATCTGAAATTTCAATTTGGCGCTTCGGACTGATATTAACCATGTTATACATGACAAAATTAAAGTCAAATTTTTTTACGGATTCGACCCAATTATTCTGTAAAATAAATAGGTAAACAAGAGCCGCAGTTGACCAAAACTCTCCCTCTTCCCTTGTCTAAAGGCCCCAAAACCTCATTTTTCACAAGTCCAGAACTGCACATCTTCTCCTTCAAGAATTCCGCGAATGAGGTTAGTAAAATCTCTCTATTCGCTCCTGTTTTATAACTAATATACTTTTAAAACTGCTCACTGTTCCATTCCGGGAGCTGCTGAGGCGCTTCCTCGGCTGGATGTTGATCTTGATCTGGAAATATATCAGACGACAGGGTTTTCTGATAATACATTGGCCAAATTTTACCTGATTTAAATAGACCGGACCATACTGATAAAAGAACTGGAAACACAAAGATTCTCCCAAACAATGATAACGGGATTCCAATAACCGGTCGGTTTTAACTTTAAAAAATCTCCTTATATGGGACCTTTTGATTGTCATTGTCAGCTCCAATCAGAACTAATTTGTTTTTCCGCAGAGTTTCCAGCTCTTTTTCAATGAAATGTCTAAAGTAATGTCATCAAATTTGCGGCAACTAATTTTACCGATGGATGGTCGGAGAATCTCCAAAGAACCATCAGAAGTGGTACAACGACGGCCAACTCCATTCACTTTTGCATAACTCACAGGCATGTGAAGATCTGGGCCAGTTGAAGATAGGCTGAAGTCCAGGCCACAGAAATGCCAGACTCTCGGAGAGTTGCCCATTCGGCGATAATAGCACCCAGTGCAGGCCACGAAGCCTTGGAAGAACCGGGGAATAAAAACGAAGCCGAACGGAACCATCAACGGGAAAAATCAAGGTGGCACCGGTGGAGATTAGACAGTCAGTTGTAAAGTTATGCTGAAATGATGTATACTAGACATCAGTTTGAAAAAAAAGTGAATTAGTGATGAAGGAGTGAATTGACAAGACATATACCATTCGAAAGGTAACCTCATAAGATTTTAGCACGGCAAGTTTCAGCTTTTTTGGAATCAAATTACGCCTACACTGGGCGAAACACTCTGATATTATACTAGGCACCGGCTTTGAAAAAAGGTGAATTAGTGATGTCGGAGTGAATTGACAAGACATACACCATTCGAAAGGTAACCTCATAAGATTTTAGCACGGCAAGTTTCAGCTTTTTTGGAATCAAATTACGCCTACACTGGGCGAAACACTCTGATATTATACTAGGCACCGGCTTTGAAAAAAGGTGAATTAGTGATGTCGGAGTGAATTGACAAGACATACACCATTCGAAAGGTAACCTCATAAGATTTTAGCACGGCAAGTTTCAGCTTTTTTGGAATCAAATTACGCCTACACTGGGCGAAACACTCTGATATTATACTAGGCACCGGTTTTGAAAAAAGGTGAATTAGTGATGTCGGAGTGAATTGACAAGACATACACCATTCGAAAGGCAACCTCATAAGATTTTAGCATGGCAAGTTTCAGCTTTTTTGGAATCAAATTACGCCTACACTGGGCGAAACACTCTGATATTATACTAGGCACCGGTTTTGAAAAAAGGTGAATTAGTGATGACGGAGTGAATTGACAAGACATACACCGTTCGAAAGGTAATGGAATGAGATTTTAGTACGGCAAGTTTCAGCTTTTTTGGAATCAAATTACGCCTACACTGGGCGAAACACTCTGATATTATACTAGGCACCGGTTTTGAAAAAAGGTGAATTAGTGATGTCGGAGTGAATTGACAAGACATACACCATTCGAAAGGTAACCTCATAAGATTTTAGCATGGCAAGTTTCAGCTTTTTTGGAATCAAATTACGCCTACACTGGGCGAAACACTCTGATATTATACTAGGCACCGGTTTTGAAAAAAGGTGAATTAGTGATGACGGAGTGAATTGACAAGACATACACTATTCGAAAGGTAACCTCCTAAGATTTTAGCATGGCAAGTTTCAGCTTTTTTGGAATCAAATTACGCCTACACTGGGCGAAACACTCTGATATTATACTAGGCACCGGTTTTGAAAAAAGGTGAATTAGTGATGACGGAGTGAATTGACAAGACATACACCGTTCGAAAGGTAATGGAATGAGATTTTAGTACGGCAAGTTTCAGCTTTTTTGGAATCAAATTACGCCTACACTGGGCGAAACACTCTGATATTATACTAGGCACCGGTTTTGAAAAAAGGTGAATTAGTGATGACGGAGTGAATTGACAAGACATACACCGTTCGAAAGGTAATGGAATGAGATTTTAGTACGGCAAGTTTCAGCTTTTTTGGAATCAAATTACGCCTACACTGGGCGAAACACTCTGATATTATACTAGGCACCGGTTTTGAAAAAAGGTGAATTAGTGATGACGGAGTGAATTGACAAGACATACACCGTTCGAAAGGTAATGGAATGAGATTTTAGTACGGCAAGTTTCAGCTTTTTTGGAATCAAATTACGCCTACACTGGGCGAAACACTCTGATATTATACTAGGCACCGGTTTTGAAAAAAGGTGAATTAGTGATGACGGAGTGAATTGACAAGACATACACTATTCGAGAGGTAACCTCCTAAGATTTTATCATGGCAAGTCTCAGCTTTTTTGGAATCAAACTACGCCCACACTGGGCGAAAAACTCTGATATTATACTTGACACCGGTTTTGAAAAAAGGTGAATTAGTGATGTCGGAGTGAATTGACAAGACATACACCATTCGAAAGGTAACCTCCTAAGATTTTATCATGGCAAGCCTCAGCTTTTTTGGAATCAAACTACGCCCACACTGGGCGAAAAACTCTGATATTATACTTGACACCGGTTTTGAAAAAAGGTCAATTAGTGATGACGGAGTGAATTGACAGGACATACACCATTCGAAAGGTAACCTCATAAGATTTTAGCACGGCAAGTTTCAGCTTTTTTGGAATCAAATTACGCCTACACTGGGCGAAACACTCTGATATTATACTAGGCACCGGCTTTGAAAAAAGGTGAATTAGTGATGACGGAGTGAATTGACAAGACATACACTATTCGAAAGGTAACCTCCTAAGATTTTATCATGGCAAGTCTCAGCTTTTTTGGAATCAAACTACGCCCACACTGGGCGAAAAACTCTGATATTATACTAGATATCAGTTTGAAAAAAGGTGAATTAGTGATGACGGAGTGAATTGACAAGACATACACTATTCGAAAGGTAACCTCCTAAGATTTTATCATGGCAAGTCTCAGCTTTTTTGGAATCAAACTACGCCCACACTGGGCGAAAAACTCTGATATTATACTAGACATCAGTTTGAAAAAAAGTGAATTAGTGATGACGGAGTGAATTGACAAGACATACACCATTCGAAAGGTAACCTCCTAAGATTTTATCATGGCAAGCCTCAGCTTTTTTGGAATCAAACTACGCCCACACTGGGCGAAAAACTGTGATATTATACTAGACATCAGTTTGAAAAAAAGTGAATTAGTGATGACGGAGTGAATTGACAAGACATACACCATTCGAAAGGTAACCTCGTAAGATTTTATCATGGCAAGTGTCAGCTTTTTTGGAATCAAACTACGCCCACACTGGGCGAAAAACTCTGATATTATACTTGACACCGGTTTTGAAAAAAGGTGAATTAGTGATGACGGAGTGAATTGACAGGACATACACCATTCGAAAGGTAACCTCGTAAGATTTTATCATGGCAAGTTTCAGCTTTTTTGGAATCAAATTACGCCTACACTGGGCGAAACACTCTGATATTATACTAGGCACCGGTTTTGAAAAAAGGTGAATTAGTGATGACGGAGTGAATTGACAAGACATACACCGTTCGAAAGGTAACCTCCTAAGATTTTATCATGGCAAGTTTCAGCTTTTTTGGAATCAAATTACGCCTACACTGGGCGAAACGCTCTGATATTATACTAGACATCAGTTTGAAAAAAAAGTGAATTAGTGATGACGGAGTGAATTGACAGGACATACACCATTCGAAAGGTAACCTCATAAGATTTTAGCACGGCAAGTTTCAGCTTTTTTGGAATCAAATTACGCCTACACTGGGCGAAACACTCTGATATTATACTAGGCACCGGTTTTGAAAAAAGGTGAATTAGTGATGTCGGAGTGAATTGACAAGACATACACCATTCGAAAGGTAACCTCATAAGATTTTAGCATGGCAAGTTTCAGCTTTTTTGGAATCAAATTACGCCTACACTGGGCGAAACACTCTGATATTATACTAGGCACCGGTTTTGAAAAAAGGTGAATTAGTGATGACGGAGTGAATTGACAAGACATACACCGTTCGAAAGGTAATGGAATGAGATTTTAGTACGGCAAGTTTCAGCTTTTTTGGAATCAAATTACGCCTACACTGGGCGAAACACTCTGATATTATACTAGGCACCGGTTTTGAAAAAAGGTGAATTAGTGATGACGGAGTGAATTGACAAGACATACACCATTCGAAAGGTAACCTCATAAGATTTTAGCATGGCAAGTTTCAGCTTTTTTGGAATCAAATTACGCCTACACTGGGCGAAAAACTCTGATATTATACTTGACACCGGTTTTGAAAAAAGGTGAATTAGTGATGACGGAGTGAATTGACAAGACATACACCATTCGAAAGGTAACCTCGTAAGATTTTATCATGGCAAGTGTCAGCTTTTTTGGAATCAAACTACGCCCACACTGGGCGAAAAACTCTGATATTATACTTGACACCGGTTTTGAAAAAAGGTGAATTAGTGATGACGGAGTGAATTGACAAGACATACACCATTCGAAAGGTAACCTCCTAAGATTTTATCATGGCAAGCCTCAGCTTTTTTGGAATCAAACTACGCCCACACTGGGCGAAAAACTCTGATATTATACTTGACACCGGTTTTGAAAAAAGGTGAATTAGTGATGACGGAGTGAATTGACAAGACATAAACCATTCGAAAGGTAACCTCCTAAGATTTTATCATGGCAAGTCTCAGCTTTTTTGGAATCAAACTACGCCCACACTGGGCGAAAGACTCTGATATTATACTTGACACCGGTTTTGAAAAAAGGTGAATTAGTGATGACGGAGTGAATTGACAAGACATACACCATTCGAAAGGTAACCTCGTAAGATTTTATCATGGCAAGTGTCAGCTTTTTTGGAATCAAACTACGCCCACACTGGGCGAAAAACTCTGATATTATACTTGACACCGGTTTTGAAAAAAGGTGAATTAGTGATGACGGAGTGAATTGACAAGACATACACCATTCGAAAGGTAACCTCCTAAGATTTTATCATGGCAAGCCTCAGCTTTTTTGGAATCAAACTACGCCCACACTGGGCGAAAAACTCTGATATTATACTTGACACCGGTTTTGAAAAAAGGTGAATTAGTGATGACGGAGTGAATTGACAAGACATACACCATTCGAAAGGTAACCTCCTAAGATTTTATCATGGCAAGTCTCAGCTTTTTTGGAATCAAACTACGCCCACACTGGGCGAAAGACTCTGATATTATACTAGACATCAGTTTGAAAAAAAAGTGAATTAGTGATGACGGAGTGAATTGACAAGACATAAACCATTCGAAAGGTAACCTCCTAAGATTTTATCATGGCAAGTCTCAGCTTTTTTGGAATCAAACTACGCCTACACTGGGCGAAACACTCTGATATTATACTAGGCACCGGCTTTGAAAAAAGGTGAATTAGTGATGTCGGAGTGAATTGACAAGACATACACCATTCGAAAGGTAACCTCCTAAGATTTTAGCATGGCAAGTTTCAGCTTTTTTGGAATCAAACTACGC